ACGGATCAGTGTAGCTCTAGGTTAACACTTTCTAACAACAAAATGCTAAGTGTTGTTGTTTTGTCAAAAAATTATAAATATCCATTTTATTATTGTTTTTACTTCCAGAAGGATAATTTTCGAAGGTCTGGTGTGCGGTGTCATGAAATTTGAGTGACAGACGCAACACATCGAGTATCGAATGAATTCGACAAAACACGCTTTTGAACAAAGATTTATGTAAAATATTTGTTTAGTTTTCTTTACCGTTGTGCAGTTATTGTCTCCCGTTGAGAATTTGTATTTTTTGCGTAGATAATTTTAAAGAACAGTTATTGTAAAAGTGTATGTATGACCTTCATGCCAGCAACCCTGGCAGGAAAAACTCCAGATGAGAAACACATACCACTGTTTCATTATGATTTTTACAAAAAAAATGTCCAAAAATTAATTTATGTTGACTAAAAATGTTTTTAAAACTTGATCGTTTAGAAGATACAAGTGTCATCAATAAAAACATGTAGCACCTCTATAAAAGCATAAGTTTTGGCTGTTTAGAGTCCCTTGACCATTCTGTTAAGACAATCCCAAGGAAACGTCAACAGTGAGCTTCGTTAAGCAATTTTCTACCCAGGGATTTAGGGATTGCTCTAATCTTGTTTTTAAATAAACCTCTGTTAAAATCAGTTTGACTTTTATTTAGCTACGAGAACAGATACCAACATGCATTTTAGAAAAACACCAGTGCAGTCAAGTTCTCAGAATGAAAGAAAATGCTCTTTATTTACAATCGAGTTAATGTTCAGAGAATTTGTCTGAATGCCAATCTGATTAAAAGTTCTGTATTCTCTGAATTAAAGGTTTCCTTTTGCACAGATCAGATGTCAGCAGTGGTTCTTTGTTTTGGGGAAGTGAAACTTCTGTTTTGCCCTTCTGACCTTTATCTGTTGGGTTCATTTTGGTTCAGTTTGTAGCAAATTCACAGCTAAACAACCTTCTGGCTGAAACATCCTGTTTTAGTTTGTGTGTTGCTGAGGTGTCATTCAAATGTTAAAAACGACAAGTTGTGGGTTTTAGTGTGCAAATAAAGCCAGATATAAGAGAAGCTGTTTTAATACAGCAAAAAGAGCTCTGGATTCAGAATGAATACTCTTGATACCCTTGACATTTTAGAGAGATGAACGCTTGTGAATCTAGTTTACAGGTCAAACAGCGTTCTGGTGTACTGGGCTCATTATCATTGTGACTGGACTGAACAAACACAGATAAGCTTCGGGACACTGGTTAGACAGAGAGATGAAGCCATGATCTTGACAGGTCCCAGTCGGTGTCTTCCTTCTCCGGCCACCGTCCAGGAGCTGTTCTCTGTGGCTCGGGATGCCAACATCCTCCCAGACATCTCCTTGGATCCCGTCCTCACGACTTTCCTTTCACTGGATTCCTTTCCTGCGCTGCAGCACCAGTACGAATTCTTACAGCGGAGCATGAGCAAAGAGCAGCAGACTACGTTTAACCTTAACCTCACCCGGGAGGTGGGCTGCTGCAGGGTTTCATATGGAGGAGTGGGGGTCATTGCTCTGGCTCTGTCCATGCTTTTTGATCAGGTTGCCCAGCAAGTAGGCCACTTTTTTGTGCTAATTACAGTTATATACTCCATTCTAAGTTCCTTTATTGTGTATGTTGCTATACTTGTCTTTACCTTCCAGAGACAAAACAGGATGCAGAAACAAAACTGAAATGTTCAAAATTCTGTGTCCTATCAGATTCGAGCTCCAGGTACAACACAGGGCCATGTTTCCACTCCCAGATCCAAAACTAAGAGGATGTTTGGTATCGACACATCTTCTAGAATAGGCCTGATTATCCAGAGCTACCTGAGCCTCGTCCCTGGCATTGCCAACGACGAGGAGGAGATGGCTGAGGCCACGGAGCTCTATGACAACTGGTTAAAATTGGAGCTGCTGGACCATTATGAGAGGATGACCACGAAGAAGAGAATGAGCACAGAGTCCATGCAACAGTGGCTGGTAGGAGCGGCAATCCATCTGCACATGAGGATCCACCAGGTCAGAACTGGAAGATGAAGTTAAAAAATAAAACAACTGAAAATCAGCACTAAGAAAGAGTATTGTTGCCCTTGTTATAGAAATGTCTCACTCTTATTGAGAAAAATTTTCCCATGTCAGTAAATTTGATATTGAAAAAAACGAAAAGATGTGTGTAGGTTGGCAACATTTAAGTCACTTTACAAAACTGTACCACCTTGAGTCACGTAAAAATGGGACTCAATGTAATACACGTGACAGCCCCATCCAGAGGAAAACTTTTGTTTCCACGTATTCCTGTAGTTATCGTCCATTCATCGTTATCGAGGTGAAATCCTCAATAAAGCGTGATGTTGATTTTAGCTCAGCCCTAAAGGGTAGTAACACTTTTTTTTCTCCCTCCAACAGGTTCGTCTGCGTTCTGTGCCTTTAGGGTCAGTTGAGTCGTTGCGTTTGTCTTATAAGACCGGATTAAATCACCTGATTGAAGGCTACACTGCTTATTTACACAGAAACATATTGGAAAAAGTGCCTTTAAACCCCAAACCTGGACCAGCCATGTTGCTTAAAGACACCACCATCAGTAATGTCACCTCCTCCAGTGCCCTCATTCCTAACTCCAGCATGGTTAACTCAGCTGATAACGTCATTAATTGGACCACACCCAGTCCAGCTGCAGGAAATGCCAGTGGTTGTAAAACAAATGAATCCAGAGAAAACTTTGGACCCTGTGTGCTGAAAGGAAGTGATAACACAAAAGATGGTGTGAACACAAGGGAGGAGGAAGACAGCATGCTTGGTCTATTGGTCATTGAGCCTCAGAGAAAAGTGAATCACAGTGTTCAGCATCACCCTTGTGAGTCTCCTGCCATCCAACAGGATTTGGTGACCCGTATTATGAGAGCGCAGGACCTGGAGCGCAACAGAAGCTTTTTCCTTTACTCGGAAAAAGTCTTCAGGAGCCTGCTCATGCAGAAGAATGACTTTGAGCTGAGGACAAATTAGATTAAAATCAGTTTTGGGCATTTCATTTTTGCATATATTAGGTCTGCTCACCACAGTTTGTTGAGAGCATTAATTCAGTTGAACTGTAAGATTCAGATATAGTGATTTAAACGTGTTATAAATAAATAAATAAATAAATAAATAAATACATAAATAAATACATAAATAAATAAATGAATAAATGTACATGCTATTACATTTTTTGTGTTAAGGAATAGAAAAGTACAAATGCAGTTCTAGATAACATGACAGTTTTTATGCAGGGTTATTTCTGTCTAAAGCACAGCAAGCTGTAAAACTTTTTAAATCATAATTATACCTCAAGATATTTAGCAAATTCTGAATATAAAAAAATAGAATAGAAACTGTGCATTAATTTAGGTACGTTTCATGATGTAAACCCATCGTACATGTGCACTTTCTAGAAACATTTTTATGTAAAAAAGAGCTCTAATTAATTTTATTTTGTCATCTAAAGTAGAGGCCTTATTACCAAGGTCTTTCCAAAAGAGTCACTTCTCCAGGGGGCTCTGCTAGTTCTTGTACTCACTAGCAGGGGGCGCTGCCGAGTCTTGCGAAATAAACAAAAAGAAGAAGAACCAAGTGTTGTCTTGGTGAGTTAGCTGCGTGGTACACGGTTCCCGAAACCTCTGCTCACTATGATATAAGGAGGATTGGCCAGCCTTTCAGCTAAGTTCGTGATCGATATTCTGAGGTACGTGGTTTCTAACTTTATCCTAACCAGTAGTAATTACACAAACCCCAGTTTAACTAAAAACCCCAATTTTAAACGTTTAGCTCACGACTAAAGGCGCGTAAAGGAAGGAAAAGTGTAGGAACGCGACGACTGGAGGAAAAAACCGTTTATATTCTGAAAATAATGATTTGTATCTTGAGCTTAACTAATTTAGTTATTTTATGGATCACTTGGCCCTATGACGGTAAGCTAGCAAAAGTGCTGACGTATGGTGTCTCATCAGTTTACCGCGAAGTTAGCTTGAAGATGGAGGTTGGATATTCGACAGACAATGGTTTACACGGTCAGCGATAAGTCTTCATGCCGTGGACTGCGGTGGACAGACAACGGTTAGCTTAGTTCCGAGAACTCGCTAATGGGAACGGTGGTTCGCTTAGGGACTATCAACAAATTTGTAGTCCTTTGTAAACAAGTACAAAAAATAAAAAAACTTCCAGAATAATTTCCTAAATGACTCAAAGTTACTTCTGACTTGTGTTACTAAACTACATTTACAAGACACACAGTTTTAACACATTTCACACAATCTGATCTTTTTTTATTCCAAAATTAAGGGATTTTTTTTCAATAGATCATAGGTAAATCTGTCTAAATACACAAAACCATTTCTCAATTGTGTAACTAAGCCAGACCAATGAGACACATCAATTTATAACACCTTTCATGTGATCTGATCTTTTTATTATGATTTTTATCAAAAATTAAGGGATTTTTTTCAATAGCCCCTAGGTAAATTAGTCAAAAGACCCTAAACCATTTGTCAATTATGTTACTAAGCTAGATCAATGAGACACCTGAGACACATCCAGTTCTGCAGTCATTAAGCCGCTTCGACAGGACGTCCATATCGATATTAAAAAGAAGAGGAGACAGAATACTTCCTTGTCGAACACCATTACAGACATTTAAAGGAGAGGACACACAATTACCCCATTTTACATACCGTAAATCCTCTAATACAGGCCCGGGCCTGTATTTGACTCAAGCTCATCAAGCTCCAGGCCTTTATTGGAAGGAGGGCCAGTATTAGAGGCAGGCCTCTATTTCTATTTGAGCAAAATGAACTAATGGTTCGCTGGAGTTTTTGACAATTAAAATTGAGCCCACATTTTCAAAGTTAAACACATTTCTTTTAACAACAGTAGTTCCTGCTTCAGCCCTCTCCCCCCTCCCCCTGCGCAGCGCCGCAAACTCACTGATGGCCTGCAGCCTCTCAGAGTTCCTGCTGCTCTAAACATTAAAATAATTATTTCATTTTCTGTTCCTTACTTCTGATTACCTTCAATGGTGTCTGTTTGTTGCAACCACCAGGTACAAAAACTAACTTGTTTTTATTTGACTATTTTTCTGTCCTGCCTGTTTATTATCTTCCTGCATCTCCTCTCAATCCTAAAGAGAAACTGCTACCTGGGTTCATATATATTCACCTTATGAGTTACCTTTGAACTGCAGTTCTAAAAGATCTACCGACCGCAAAAACAGCGGAGCGCTTGCTGTTTGGCGGCCGTATCAGTGATCAGTGCGTCGGAGGACAAGGTGATGCCCGCAGCGCCCCGCTCCACAGCATGCAGCCAAACGCATCAGGCGCAAATAAAAGACAGAAAACATTAAAGGAAATAAACCGACATGAACGATCGCGTGTCAGTACCTACGGTCCGGCACAGCGCGTTGCTGATCACAGAGAATGTGATCATACGATAATTCAATAGGGAGCGTGGTTTCACAGACGCGGAAGTGAGAGCGTCGGTGAAACGCCGGCTGCTCTAGGAAACCCCCGAGCATTCGAGCGTCAACGAAGTGACACGGAAATGCCGGGCTTTCCAGAAGTAAGTAAGATAACTTACTATGAGCTGATAGTTCGTTGGATTGATTGGTAGGTTGGAAACTCTGATCATGAATCTGAAGAAACGATGACTGAGCTGGAAAGGCGACTTCCGTTTATAGCCGCGGTTTGTGACGTATACGACGTGGAGGGAATCCCCGCGAGGGGCATGCTGGGAGTCCCTACTTCGCGGATTTTCACCTATCGCGGCCAGGTCTGGAACGCATCTACCGCGATAAACGAGGGATTACTGTAGTTCATACACCCCCTACTGCTGCTCTCCAGAGTGTTCTGCAGCATAATCAGCACATTCTCTTTGAACTTGATAGTGTAATGACCTGGCCGGGGTTGTAAGCCAGGTGCATTCTGGGTATTGTGTTATATGTGTTTCCTATCGTTCTGCTAGTTCCTATGTGCTGATTTGCTTGTTGTGTTAGTGTTATGTAAGCCACAGGGAAGGTGATGTGTGTTCTGTGGAGCGGGTTGAATTAGCATGGTTAACTGACACCGTGACTCTGTGTGGTAGGAGCATGATAGAGGATCGTGTCTGTAGCGTTACAAAGCGTTGAAGAAGAAGCCTAATACAGGTCTGCGTGAACCCCTACTGCCTCCTGCTGGTTGAGTTGGGGACTATAACACTGCCGCTGGGACGCTCTACTTACTTGTTACCACTTCCATCCGGCCACAATAAGAGACCGGCCATTATTTACCTCCGATAACTCCGACACCGACCAAAATTGGAGACCCGGCCTTTAATTGAATACCGGCCTGTATTAGAGGATTTACGGTACATAGACTGGTGAGTGTACCAAAATGATAAAATCCCAATTACAGACTTAGGAACACCTCTGTCCTGTAATTTATAAAATAATTTTTCATGGTTAATGCGATCAAAAGCCTTTGAGTCAATAAAACCCATAAAAATAGTGGAATTATGCTTGTTATAAAAATCTAAAAGCTCTTTCAGAGCAAAAATACACATATCTGTACCATGCTTTGATTTAAAACCAAACTGATTGTCAGTTGTCAAAATAAAATGTTCCACTCTATTTAAAATAACTTTCTCCATAACTTTAGATTAAATACTGGCCAGAGCTATTGGCCAGTAATTATCTCTGCTACTGATTTTGCCAGCTTTATCTTTTAAAATTGGCAATAGTGTAACAGATAAAATGGAGTCAGGTAAAATGCCATGAATTAAAAACCCTGTAAAACTGATAGCAAGCAGAGGAAAGAGTTTTCTACTGGCATGCTTTAGGTGTTCTGCAGAGATATCATCCCTACCACATGCCTTATTGTCCTTTAAGCCCATAACTGCGTCATATACCTCCTGTGGAGAGACCCTCACGTCCTCTATAGTTGGGTTTAGGGCTGCACGATATTAGGAAAAGCTGCGATATTCGATAACAGTGCTTAATATTGCGATATCGATATTACTTGCGATAAATGAACAAATACTAAAGTATGCAGTGTTGATGTCGTCTGGCGTGTGACGTCTGCTCTGGGTTCAAAGCAAACAACAACTAATGCATGAATTCCATTACAACATACCATTTTTATTGCAAAAATATGCAGCTGCACCTGCTACTGTATTAGCAGCAAAACAACAAACTGCATGCATGCAGTTTCTCAGTGACTTTAAAACATCACCTCCACCATAAAACTTTTTCTGATGCTCCAAATACAGAAAAACATCCCTTACCAGGGTTTTTTAAATAAATTAAAAAAAATCAGAAAATAAGTTTAAATGTTAGATAATAGTTAACTTTAGGGATGCACCGATAGATCGGCATTTGATCCCAATCGGCCGATAGCTCCCCTATCGGTTTTGATCGGAGTTTTCAAAATAGATCAAACCAGACCAATCAGGTAGGTTTGTCATGGTAACCGGTGTAGCGGTAAACCCCGGTAAAAAAGTTGACAATAATAATAACCGTCTTGTTTTTTAAATAAAACTATATTATCTTGGTGGGTTTACCGTGGCTGCGGTGTAGGCGCGGTGACCCTTACCAGCCACTGTATCATCTGCTGAAGTTGCCGGCGGCACATGCGCGCTTTGTTGTTTACAACCAAAACTTTCTTGACGCTAAAGCTGAAATAATGGCCAAAGGAGGAGACAGCAGCGCTCAGGAGGACACTTTTTATCCCTCAAAGAAGACAAAGTCGGAAGTACGGGCATCTTTTGGATATTTGAAGAATCCCGAGGGACAGTTTATAGAAGACGGCTATCCTGTTTGCAGCACGTGCAGAAAAAGTGTCTGTGAAAGGCAGCAACGCTTCAAATCTCATGACACATCTGCGTGACCATCACCCACAACTTTACAGTCAACGCAAGGCAAGCTAACGTTAGCGTTTTAGCTAAAATGCGTGATCCGAGGATTTGGGTTGAGGGAGAATGCAACGAGTTGCTATATAAAGCAGCCGCAGCGCCGCTACCTGCATATAAACCGTGTCGCGGACACCCCCATATTGAAATGACGCTATGCATTACGGGGCTCCCAGGGGCAGATAAGAGTTGGTCTCTCTCTGAGAATAATTATGAATTTAACAATGATTACTGCCTGATGACATTTACCCACATCTGCAAAGCTCACTGGAAGGACACAAACCGAGGACAATATTTTCCTGATATAGGGTTTATTACTCAAGTAAGGGTAAAAAAAGTATCTGATTAGAAGGCCACTTGAGTACTGAGTATCATCTGATCTAATATTTTTAAAATGGTGACATCAAACAGACAAAAAATAAGTTATGGGCAAATATTGGTATTTTAAAGACTAAAGGGGAAAAATGTAAACAAATAAACAACATAATTACAAAATAACTAATTTTAGGCAAAATTTAGACACAAACTGAGGACAAAATTTCCTGACATACAGGGTTTAATTGTGTGAAAATGTAGCACGTTTAAAAAATACCACGATAAAACCGAAAACCTTGGTAATTTTGGTCACAATAACCGTGAGGTTAAATTTTCACACCGTGACATCCCTAGCTGTGGCAGGAGTCCCCAAATATTTACGGGCAATGTGGGCCATCTTACCATACACAGCAGTGTGTTCCGACCACCACTTCAGTGGACACTGATCTAATTGGCACTGGGCTCTACCTTGTACCTCTCCACAGTGTTGTCTACTGGTGCCTCCTCATCTGAGTCTGATCCCATTAGTAGAAGGGCTCTTTTCTTCTTGGGTGGCTCAGGGTTCTCCTCCCTGAGTGGCTTCAGAGTAGGTTCTTGTCCCTCTGTCTTTCTAACACTGTAGAGGTCTTTAAAAATCATCTAAAAACTCACCTTTTCATCCAGGCGTTCCCTCCCTAAATGTTTCAGAATGATGGCTTTGTTCGGGTTCACACCTTCACTTTGTTTATACTCATGATTTTATTTTCTATGTTTATCACTGCTATCGTTTTTCTGATGTTTATATTGGTTAGAGGTATTTGCCCTGATCTTTATCATGTTGTACAGCGCTTTGTGATTTATATCTGTGAAAGGCGCTCTATAAATAAACTTTTACTTACTTACTTACTTCACCAACTCACGTAGCTTTACCCACACCGGCTCCCTCTCTGCTCTGGGCAAGCACTTGAGGTCCTTAAATCGTGGATCTAAGGCAGTCGCCACTTTTAATAAATAAAACATAATAATTATTATTTATGAAATTTTCACTTTCCAAATTTAACCTCCGTATTTGTTCATGACTCATTCATCTATTCATTTGACCAATCTACTAGATGGCTTTCATTTCCACTGCATAGACCGCAAGAGCGATCTCTCGCAAAGCCAAAAGATGTAGGTGTCTGTTAAGCCGGGCGTACACTGTGTGACTTTTTCACTTTTTTTCAGCCGATTTTCCACTCGTGCGAGAATCCACAAGATCGGGGCGAGTTTTGCGCTGAGCGTCGTATAGTGTACAGGGAGTTACGAGAGGCGATTAACACCACGTGACCAGCTACCGATCAGCAATCGTGAGCTCGCACAAACTTCTGGCATGTTAAATATTTTGCTCGTCCCTCGTGAGGGTATCGCACTGTTGAAACGGCGCTGCGAGCAGCTGCGACCCGAAAAGTATCAGAACCGCTCACGGCGCATGCACAATCCTGCATCAACACCGCTTGCCCGCTGTTCCCCTAATAACACACGTTGTTTGTTTTTTATTTCTACACGTTTTTTTTACTCACAAAGATTGTCAAGAAAAAGTGTTTGTTTGTCGTGTTCATGTCAAATTAAACTGATCACAAAACACAGATTTACTTTCTTCATTTTTTTTTACTCATCCAACCCCCATAAATCCCTGTTTGTCCTCCTGCAGTACTCCCGAAGGACAACAGGCAAAACAAGACAAAAAAGTCTGACGTGTTGAGTAAAAACTGCTATTTTTAGCATATTTTTTAGGGCCGACGTGTTGCTACCAGATGTACAGCGTGAGCAGTCAGGTCGCATGCGAGAACTGGGTCGTGCAGTGTGAGCGCATGACTTGTAAGATCTGCCCTGCGAGGAAGTCGTACAGTTTGAGCTGAAGCTGAGTGCTACGAGGGAAAAAGTCCAGCTTAATATTAACAACAGTTGGTGTTCTGATGTGACTGTCATCTCCCAGCACTGTTCTCCTGCTTTAGGATGCCTACTCTTCAACTGTAACCCTTTGTACTCTCTCCGTGATTTCTCCTCATTTATTCTGGCCACGTCTACATCCTGCCGAGCGCAGACGTGCATGCAGCCCAGCGTGCACTTGTGGATAAAATTTTGTGCGTGGAGCAAAAATATTGTGATTCCAGCATTGTTCCAACACTCACCAGACTGTATTTCAATAACGACAAACCATGGCCAAGGGCCAAACTCAGTCAGCTCAAGATGGAGAAGGAGATTGCATTTAAAAACAAAGACACAGAGAGCTACAAAAGAGGCAAAATACAGGTTCAGCAGGGAGGTGAAAAATGCTAAATCAAGGTACTCTGAGAGGATGAAAGCACAATTCTCAGCTAACGACTCGACTTTTGTGTGTAAAGGGCGCTTAGGCAAATCACTGCCAAGCCAAATAAACCCACTCAACAGAGGACCTATAGTCAACAGCCTAAACAAGTTCTAATCAGTGACTGTAGAAAGAGTTTGATTGCCGCTATGATGGACCATCGACATGTATACGTGATGGACCAACAGCCAACCAGGACATCACACATCAGCTACATCTCCATTTCAACAAGGTCATTTACACCTCCATGCCCCCAGAAGTCTCCTCACAAAAGGCATGCCCCCCCCCAAAAAAAACACTGCACCAACATCCTGGAAGAGGATGTTAATAGGCTATTCAAGAGTCTAAACCCCCACAAGGCGTGTCTCCATCCACTGAAAGAAGCTGTGCTGTGCCCAGTCTTTACGGAGACTATGCATATATGCATTGGTAGCTTCTGCTTGTTAAGCAACAACAACAGAGCACAAGCAACAACATAAAGCTATGGTTTATGAGCGTCACCCTCCCATATTCCATCCAAAATTGACAAAGCTCTTCAGATGAGAAGTGAAACATCTTCAAAAAACCAAAGAAGTTCACATACCTTCATTTGAACCACTTTAGATCATAACTAGATCAGGACTAGTTGAAGCCAAACCACACCCACGTGACGTGCTTCAGGGTCACAGAACACTGCTATTTCATCAATTTATTAAATAATCTGGATGCTCAAATAGCCCTGTCGCGTTCGTGTTGTTTATATTACTGTATTGGTTGAATTAAGTGCAGCTGCTGGAACTGGCGTTTGTTGGAGCCAGTCCGGTGGTATAGGAGCACAGACCATCATCACTTTTATTTTACTCTTGATGGATGCATTTAAAGGAAAGGTATCTAATTTAGCACTAGTACTACAGGACTGGAGGTGCTTTTTCAGAGTTTGGTGATCATTTAAGTATAAAGATTGAAATGTGGTTTCAGTTGTATGTTAGAATTGAAAGCTATTAAACGTGTTTTTGCTAAAAACGAAGTCTCTTGTTAAACTGTTTGCGAGAGAATAAAAGTGTCATGTTTCAGATACAATAAAGCTTTTGTTTGGCCGTAAAAAGGAAAGAATCACATTGCGTCACATGTTCTAGTTATCTTATTCATTAAAGTGGCAACTTTTGAAACAATTTTACTACCTAACACATGGAAAAGAGCTTCAGTGCTGACCCCAGGAGATAAAATGATGTGGGATTGGTACCAAAGCTTGTGCAGGAATGTATTTAATTTGCAGTGTTCAACTCTTGATTTGTACAAATGTTTTTGCAGATTCAAACAAAATGTCGGATTCAGATTGGGAGGGATTCGGATATCAGAAATATAAGGTGTTGTTTTTAAATCATATTCTGCAGTAAGTTTTATTTTATATGATCTCCACCTAACTAAACTTTTAATTTTCTGCTAACCCAGAGAGAAAAAGCAATTACCACTTACCGTGTATCAGGTAAGGAAATTATTTCTATTTTCATTATGAGTAAAGCAGAATTAGGACCCCTCTGCAGTTGTGTAACCACTACATGCACCAGATGACTTACATATTTATAAAAGACTAAATAATATCCTTTTCTGGCCCAGGATGTGGTGCCATTGTATTTACATTTCAGTTAGATGGTGTGGTAGTCTGTAGGAAAATAAAAACATGTATTTTTATGATGACCCAGCTAAAGGATTTGAATATGTGTAGAGAGATATGTACAGCTTGAACAAAATACCTGGGGCTGATGAACCTTTTTTTTTTGTAGAAGAGGTCCTTGATAAATGGATCAGCATTCCTGTTCAAGTTAAACGAGAAGCTGCACAGCAGATGAAGATTTGTGTCTTCTGGCTTCCCACCCTGCTGCAGCCTGAGGACTCTGAAACATATGACTGGGCTATGGATGTAGGCTTAGTCAGCTCAAGGTAAGCCCGGCTTCAAAAACCAGCTCTTGTTGCTGCTCAAAAGTTTTACAGCGTCGATCAATAATAAAAAGGTTTTATATTTTTGTTGCAGGGACAATGAAACGATAACACTGGATCACTTGGCTAAGATACAAGTGGTGGAAAGAATCCTGTTTTACCTGGATATTGGAACTGTAAGTTTGCCTGGGTTCTGTGGGTTGTCTTTTATTTTTGACTTTTCCTGCTGAAATCTGAGCTTGTTGAGATATTTACCACGACAGTAAAGACTTCTACGTTGTGTAATTGAGTATGGTATATTGGTTTCTGTGATGATACCTGTGGACCATTCTCCATGGTGAGTTCTAACAACAAGCCCTGGTTCAGTTAGACTTTAAGAAGAAGCGTTTCTCAGTGGGGACAGAGACCGTAAGTCCACCAAGTCCAGTTATAGTCCCATTAGTCATCACACACTGGTGAAATTACATCTCTGTACTTGACCCGTCCCTGTGGGGAGCGGTGAGCTGCAGCAGTGGCTGTGCTCGGGAACTATTTGGTGGTTAAACAAGTTTAGCCAGGGATTGAGCTACAGTATTCAAGAAAACCCAGTACAGGGGTAGACAACTCCCTACCCGTAGGGCTGGTAGGCAGCATGTTTTAGTTGCTTCCCTGCTCCAACACATCTTATTCACCAGTCCAGCAGCTCAAGCTCTGCAGGAGGCTGGTAATCACCTGCTGATTAAAACCAGGTGTGTTGAAGCAGGAAAACAACTAAAACATGCTGGCCACCAGCCCTCCAGGTAGGGAGTTGTCTACCCTTGACCTACTACAACAGTTCTGCTCAAACAAAGGTAATTTAAGAAACTCCACACCTAAAAGCCCCTCGCCACCAACAATTCACACCTAGCCAATAGCCTGGATGGCTTCTCTTGACGCTTCAAGAAACAATGGAACCATCCTGCTACCTCCTCTGACACTTTAGAGCAATCAAATCCCTGAGCACCTCGGCTCCACCACCCCGACACAACAAAGATCTCGGATGCTCCTCTTCCTTTGCTATCTGCTTCTAATGTCACAACTACCACCCTAGCACTCTTGTCTGTTGTTGACAGAGATGTAAACAAACTAAAAGACAGAAACCCTGTAAAGCAGCTGCACCAGACTCTGTTTCTCTGCCACCCTGAGAAACGGTGTCTCCAATCTTCAGACAACAATGCTTCAGACGTCACTGATCCCATAAAGACCAAACATCTCAGAACTTGATGACTACAGACCCGTTGATCCTGACCTCTGTATGAAGTCCGTTGAGTGTCAGATGCCTTCACACAACAAACCCATCGCAGATCCCCTACTGGACTTCATGCCGTTTTGCCTACAGAGCCAACAGGTGTGCAGGCGATGCTGTTAACACCTGGACTCAGCTGGCAGCTATGCCAGGATCTAGTTTGTGGACTTCTACAGCAATATCCCAGCCCTGCTGGAGGACGGTGGTCTAAACTGAACGTGTTTGACCTCGTCTGCAGGTGGATCAGACTTCTTGTCTGACAGGAAGCAACATGCGAAGCTCGGGATGTGCACCTCGAACCATGAACTATCAGCACCAGATCCCCTGAAGGCTGTGTCTAATTCTCTCTGCTCTTTTTTATACACCTAGGGACCCTAACCCTATCCCCCAACCTGGAAATTAGTACTTAGATGTTTTTCTCTAAATGGTTTTGTTTGTTCTTTCCTTCAGTTGGAGAGGGAATGTGCCAGACATGTTTTCTCCATAAGCAACATGTTGAATCTGGTAAGTATGAGAAGATGTAATTTTGGTGTCCCTGTGTGGCCTGGTCGCTGCATTTAAAAGCATAAAATCAATTGTTTAGATCATTAAAAAGAAGTAGAAAATCTGAAGATTTAACAAACAAATGGTTATCTTTGATAAAAAAAATTAGAAGCAACAAATTAAGATGTTTATAATTTTTTTTAAAATATAGATTCTTTTTAGTTTAAGAGTTTAGTTTCGTGAGTTAGGGCCTCTGGTTTTTAAAAGTATTAAGTTAAAAATTTACAGGTTTAGAATAGAAACTGCTAAAGTTGTCTTCAGCTTTGTTTATTATTGTTGCAACCGATCCACCAGAAGTGTCTATTCCATGTTTGTTTTGGTCCTCAGTCATGTCATCTTTAATGGTTTTGTATTTTGGTGTGATGATTCAGTTGTGGTTTTGTTCTTTTGTTCAGCAATTCTGTCCCGAGACGTTGGAGGCAACCGTGCGCTTTTTGGAAAAGGCAGGAGATTGTCACATCCGCTCAAACCTGCGGACTCTCGGTGACTTTCTGCACTGTTTCACTACGCTGGGATTGATCTTCTCAGAGTGTAAGATCTCCCCACAGTTTTTTACTTGTAAATTTCTTAAAAAGTGGAAATGTTTTAAAAATTCACACCATTTGATCTTTTTTTCAGATGCTAAGTTTATCCGGGAACTCAGTAAAAATGTGGAGAAAATGATGGAGATTCTGCTAGCTAAACCAGCCGACTACCTAACAGAAGTAAGACTCGGCTTGATCAGACTAGAGTCAAGTTTATATATAATTTATTCACCAATTTAAAACTTCAATTGTTTCTTTTTTCTTGAGTTTTCTTGCTTGAGTTAGCCTGATAAGGGAGCACACATCTAAAACGCTTTTTGGTTGACGTTTTTGTCTGTTTCTCTTCCAGAAAAGTGAAGCCATGAAGAAAAAAGGAAATGACAAATTTCAGAAACAGCAGTTTGAAGAAGCTGTAAAGTATTATTCTAAAGCTATCAAATATTAGTAAGTAATATTTCAGTTTTACCACCTTCAAAGTGCAACAGCAGATAAAATCTGTTGCTCTAGATGTTAATGTTGGGGACATGCCTTTAATGTATTTAAAGAGTTATATTGTGGGCAAGAGTAAATATATTATGAATTTGTTTGATATGTTTACAATGAAGATGAGTTCATTAAAACTGGTTTTGTTTGGTTACTTTTATGAATTTCTTTCAAGTCCTGAAAATCACATCCTGTATGGAAACAGAGCCCTGTGCTTTATCAGGTGTAAGCAATACCTGTAAGTATAACATTTTTATTCAAATATAAAAAGTATAATGAGACACTTGGTAACTGTTTCCTCTTCTATAAGGGGATGTGGAGCAGATTAATGAGGATGTAGTATTCCTATTAGGGATGCAACGATACCACTTTTTTCCAAACCGATACGATACCGATACTTGGATCTGGGTGCTAGATCGATGCTGCGCTCCGGGAGCTTCTCTCCATTAGAGCGGGGGCTCAGATCACCCAGACAGTTCACGCAGACTGTGGAGGACAGACACCTGTAGGAGCAGCTTGTGTAAAAATAATAATCATAATCTACTTCAATCGCAATAAAAAGCAAGTTATGTCCAGTCTAAAAGGAAGACTGACAATACAGGGACCGCGCCCACACCCTCTTTTTATCGCCGTTGTGTAATCTTTTGTGAAGAACACATGATCGCGGCATGTTACCGCCACAGTCGCACCACTTATGAACGACCAACGGCTCCCTGGTGCTGCCTCAGCTTTGTGGCAACTTAGTGACAGTATTTTATGAAAGAGACTACAGAAACCGGAGCAATGGCCTGCTCTCTGTTTAAGGGAGTTTAAAATGTGTGAATCGGATTTCATCATCAGTACTTACTTTGTCCAAAACAAAACTTATCTGGTGAAGAGAATGTGTCTCAACTGCATTCCTTCTGTGTTTTACATTAATATTTTCCATTTATTCTTCCCAGAAAAGCAGCCGCTGATGGAAAACGTGCCGTTCTCATCAAGCCGCTCTGGGCAAAGGTGTGAGGCGCCGACACTGTCTTGATTAAGCATGCTGTTCTGAAGGTTTTCATGTTTTTATTTAATATACATGTCTGCTTCCTGGTTCATGTTCAGGGTCATTACCGCTACTGTGAGGCACTGTTCTGCCTGGGTCAGACCCAGTTAGCTTTTGAGGCTAACAGCACCGCTAAGTCCCTGTGTAGAGACAACCCGGATGAACTCAGAGACCTGGACCAACAATACCAGAAGTTCATGTCTGAGCTCACATTCAGTAAGTTTCCATTAAAGATAGCCTCTTTAAGGAATAATGATTCGAAGTTGTAGATAAAATCCTTGGTTTTACTCTGAAATGTGTTCCTTTTTCAGTATGAAGTCATTGATTTATGACCTGATTGTTGTGTCATGAAGAAGGAAATGACTCGTTTCCGACTTGTTTCATTTCCTGCCTAACAAAAGTGAAAATTGTGTTTTTGTTCTTAATTTTCAGCTGAACTTCCAAAATCAAATCAGAGGTAGGTCTGTGTGCATGCGGCCTCTGACGGGTCATGAAAGTAGTTAAATTATCAGTGATTAGATCTCTCTTTTTTTTTTCTTTTTTTTTTTTTTAACCTGGGAAATAGTTTCAAAGATGGCTTGGTGACAAGAACACAGACGTCCAAAACCGGTGGCAAAAGTAATCCAGGAAAAAGTTCACCTGCAAAGGTCAGTAGTTTTTTTTTTAATACATATTATTAATTTGTGGTTTCTAATAAAGAGTAGGTTCACTGAGAAACCATCTTTTACTTATTTTTATAAATGATGAGTCACTCAGTTTAACATTCAGGCTGAATGGAAAACTAGTTTACCTCGATTTCCTGTATTAGCCTCTGATTTCAGGCTTTCAGAAAAGCCTGACAGATCTACGGCACACACTGCGTTTTCATGTGCGTCTAAGTCGCTCCAGGTCTGTCTAAGGTAATGAGCTGGGAGCTTTTTATCCTAGTTTATCCTTAGTTTAGTAGGTTAGAAAACCGAACCGAAACTTTCTTTCCACTTTGGTACGGTAGTTGGCAACGTGCGCCCTTTCGTGTCGGCATTCTTCCGGTTATTTTATAGCAACACAAATGTTAAACAAACGCTGGCGTGAGTGAAGCAGAAGGTATTGAAACAGTGGCAGAAGGAATGGACAGCACCACAGCACAGCCTATTTATTTCATTTATTATATATTTTTTCAAGGATCTTTATTTATCATTGTACCAGCGTGCGTCCCAGTACAGAACAACCCGTGCTTTTACTTTGATATGATTCAGAACTAATCATCAACTTGCTTTTTTTTTTAGGTCACAAAAATGGACAGGAGAAACCGTGAGTTTATTCCTTCCCTTCTTAAAGGTTATTAATGTTGAACGTTTTCTGCAAAATGTGAAATTTATTCCTGTTTTATTCACATTTTAGCTCAAATGACCCTTATTTATTTATTTATTTATTTATTTGCACCAAGATTCTGGAATGAGAAGCTGAAGAAAGTTTACACTCGGGGGTGCACATCATGTTTTTGTCCTGGTTCTCAGGGGAGAACCCAAGAGTTGGTGCTTGATCCTCTATTTAATTGTGTTTTTCTTAATCTACCTCACAATAGGAACAAAATAAAGTGATGTGTGGATGACATGACCATTTGTTGCACTAAAAATTAAACATGCAAACATTTGCTTTTTTGGTAACAAAAACCAAATTAAATAACATCTTTTTAAACAATCAACAGAATTGCTATTTCAAAGCACTGCAGCTATTATTTCTACAGAATGTCGTTGTCATCAGAAGTGGAATATCTTCATGGGATTGCTTAAAACTTCCATGTTTTGCTCAGAGAAAGGCTAAAAGAAGAACATTACTCAGTGCTTGCTATCTCTCTCCTGTTATTTTATCTCAAACAACGTTTTGGTGCTTTCTGCTGTTGGTGTGTGAACCAAAAGCTGGATGATTGAATTTTTTAGTACCGACGTGGTGGTAAACAGTTTTTGTCCTCCAGAGTGGGATTTTCACAACATATTCTGCACCACATCTCTCTGTGTTCGCTTAAAGCAAGCTGATGCCCTGCAGCTACTTTTCTAAGAAGACGCTTGTTTTCAATTCAAGTTTATTTATGTAGCGCCAAATCACGACGAGTCATCTCAAGGCACTTCACATAATAAACATTCCAATTCAGGTCAGTTCATTAAGCCAATCAGAAATAATGTTTCCTATATAAGGAACCCAGCAAATTGCATCAAGTCGCTGACTAGTGTCAGTGACTATACAGCAATCATCATACTAAGCAAGCATAAAGCGACAGTGGAGAGGAAAACTCCCTTTTAACAGGAAGAAACCTCCAGAGAATCCTGGCTCAGTATAAGCAGCCATCCTCCACGACTCACTGGGGATGAATCTGGGGATTTTGCAGTTCAATCTCTTGACGTTTCTTTGGAAGTGGAGGAGCACCAATGGGAGTTTGCTTATTCAACATTTTTATGGTGCTCTACGCCTCGTTTACAACAAGTCGTGCAAACTGATGTCACTGATAAAGAACCAGAAAAAAATGTTTCACATGTTTTATTTTGAATTGAACCGGCTGCACGGATGAGGGGTAAAAATGTCTATCCTCAACAAAATTTCAGATACACCAAAGTGTTGAAGCGTTTGATCTGGTGCGCTTTATTTTGACAGCGCATGCACACCTGTGGACCACTTATGTGCCACCCCTGTTTATAGTTATCATGCAACTAGCTTCACCGCAGTAAAAACTTATCTCGATGCAACATTTCCTGTCCTGTTTCAACTGATTAAAGCTGAAATATTTCTGTTTCCTTTGCAACAAGACAAAACAGTTCATTCTGACTATGCTGCTGCTGTGGGGTGTTATTTGTGATTTTATTTACAAAGTAGTTTTAATCGATTAATTTAATGAACATTTGTTCATAGGACCAAACGAGACTGCTTCACAGTTGGAGAACACCCCTGTGTCATCAAAACCGTCCAAAAGGTGAGTGGAAACTGCTGCCCTTCTGCTCTGCCTTGCTGTCGCTCAGATTCCAGTTTCTATTTTACAGCAGCTTTATTTATGTAGATTATTTTATTAACTAGTTTATTGATTAATCAGTTTTTAAAAAAGAATAATTTGCCCCTCAACATTCAAATTCATCTCCCTTTCTTTACTTTGTGACAGTTACAACGGTTTTAAAGAGATTTTACCACAACATGTAAAGATTTGAAGTACCTAACCTCTCATATCTACACAAACAGGGAACTGGTTAAAGCTCTATGTAATTATTGTAAACAACTTTCGTGACTATTTGCAGCAGCCTTATTTTAGATATCTGTAAGAATGTGTGCTGCTGCTGTCTGCTAGACTCACTTATAGCTGTTCATGCGTCTTTGATGTCTGACTGTAAAAATGGCTCAAATTCTGTGGTTTCAGTGAAAAGGTCCAGTTCAGCACATCAGAGGAAGGAAGGAAGAAGAAACAGAAGAACGAGGATCGTCCTAGAGAGGTGGTGGGATTTTTGTTCATGTGACACAACCTGCTGTTGGTTTAGTTTAACCTGTTGCGTTTTTCCTTTCAGAACCAGAGCCATGTGGTTAAGTCTAAAGCGTGCGTGAGTGACATGCGTAAAGAGCTCCAGTTCCTGATGCAGGACGCTCACATGGCTCTTGACGACCTCCGAAGCCGCAACGCGGCGCAGGCCTTCGGCCAGGCGCTGGACCTGGTGGAATCTGCAACTCCCAAGGTAATCACACCTCATGTAGAGCTGGGTATCGATTCAAATTTCAAGAATCAATTTGATTCCGATTCTGAAGAATTAGAATCGATTATCACGATTTGATTCGATATTATTGAAATATTGGCTATTAAAAATGGCTGCATAGCCCAATCCTTCACTCAGACATTAGCTTTTCACAAATACGCTGTCAGGCAGAATTAGCAAACAGATCCAGGGCAGCCATCAGAGGAAGTAAGAAGTGTCAATAACTGCATTAATGGACTGTTACTGGAACACGAACCTATGGCATTAGTAACAATAACACATTGATATTTCATCCAAAAGCTGTAGCTACACACACACACATACACATTTATTTTTTGTTATTTGTATTGGCCTCACCCAAGACTTGAGCAATATTTTTTAATATTCAACATTCATGCAGATTTTTTTAGGTTTGAACATCTTCAGGGTTGACCTTCCCTTAAATGTAATGATCATTTTCTCTAAGAAAAGGTCCTTGTCTGGACCACAGATGGCTGGGATACGTAGAATATTTATTTGATGATGTGGCACTCTTTGACCTCCATATGATGTGGCACAGTTTTTCTTTTTTTTTTTTTTTCCTTTTTTTTACATTTGCGCTATGTCTGTCGTCATTAGCGGTGTTTTTACTATCCTTTCTAAATCCACCATGTCCCGAAAACAGTGAGAAAGCTTGAGAATCGGCGTGTGGAACATTTTGGCTTCATTAGCCGAACTTTATTCACATGCAGCACAGACTATGTTGCTCCATGCAGCAGCGCCACTCTTTCTGACAGGATGAGTGAGCATTCTTCTTCAATGAACAGACCTGTCAGCATTTGTAAGTTTTTCCCTATTGTAATGTCTAGAAATGGTCAGTTTTTCATGTGCAGTTTGACCCCTTCAGTATCTGGTCTACATGGAGACAGGAGTCTACATGTGTTGCCTTTAATCTGCCGGACCCTGCCATTCCATCAGCTGGAGCTCAGAACACATGATAACAAAGTGTCAACAAACTGTTCCCTTCTCAAGGTCCTTCTGTGCCAAGCCTGCCTGGTTATCTAGGCTGGACTGGACCATTATAAGAGTGACTGTTTTCAGCTTATATGAATTAATCATTCATGAAATAATAATAATGATAATAATTAATATATAATTAATCTGTGCTTAAATCAATAAGGTTGATTAATCTGTGCTTGAATGACTGAAAGTTTGAAATGAATTATTACATTGAATGATTTATATATATATGGTAATCAGTAATGTTTGATATGACAAGGCAATCATCACCTACACCTAGACACAAGGTTCATTAGAGAGATAAATTACAGTTAAGTTAAACTCATGACACATAGACATTTCTTTACCCCAAATCAGAGCATCTGTATCCAGGGTATTCACGGGGTCTCAAAAAGTCTTAAAAGTCTTGAATTTAATGAAAGGAGAATTAAGACCCTTAAAAGTCAATTTAGTGAAGTCTTAAATTTGGTTCGTATTGATGTGATTTTAAAATACGTTCGTCTCATACTTGCAAACTTGATGCTTTTCAGCGAAAATTGCCGTTTATGAAACCAAATACGTTCACGTGAATCAAAGAGTTTTTGTTTTAGGGAAGGTGAGGGGGGGATTGAGTTCAAGTGTTGGTCAAAAACCGCTTTCCCAGTAATTAGACAGGTCCATCCTAACCTAAAGAAGATTCTGACAGACAAGGTGCTGCGGTTGTTGTTTCAGGTGCATACAGGCTAAACCCTTTAGGCATGTCTTCCCTACATGTTATATAAGAGATTTGAAATCAAGATGAAAAACTTGCAACACAGTATGGATCTGTTCTTAATGAGATGTTATTAATGGAAAATAAACAAATAGATCTAAAGATGTTTCTGTTACTTTTACTATCATTCTGTTGTGGAAAGTCAGCACAAATATTCAGTGAAAACTTTAAAAAGCTGATTAAACCTTCATTATTTTGTAGTGGGCCTGTCTATATTTATAAAATCAGTTGATGGTTTAAAGTAACCGTAGCTAAAGTTACTCAGAGCCACTGTAGAAGGTCCAGCCTGAGTTAAGCTGTGGTAACTGGAGAGGAACTGAGAAGCAGCATTAAACCTTTTGCCATTTGCTTGTTCAAGTTTAATTCAAATAGAATATATGACATCAATTATATAATAATTGTATGTATATTTAACAGTCATGTTAAAGGTAAAAGGCAGAATAGATTTACAAAAAAAAACATTTTAATTATCTGGTTACACTGAAGCTTCACGTTCCACAGTGAGCAGTCTCGTTCTCACATTTGGTGAGTTGGGATTTGGTCATCCTACTTAAGAATGATTACAGTCATTTAGAATATTTTCAGATGTTTTCATGTTTGGTGTTTTGTGAATTAGTTTCATAATAATAATTAATTATTATATGATGATCCCTAATCGTTATCTGATCGGTTCTGTCAGTTTATTATATTTAGCTCTCTTGAACAGTAGGACTGGTAGAAAATTGCTTGCATTTTGCAAAAACATCACATAATTTTTTTTTTAATATTCTCAATAAAATAAAAGTATATAAATGTCAGATGTCACTACAAAACCCACTGTAGAGTAGATGCACATCTGCAGCATGTGAGGACCTTGTTTAGGCGGAGTTATTTTAGTTGTCACTTTTCACAGCCTTGGAGTTCGTGGCTATGAAAAATAGATGGATGTAAACTAAAAAATATATATATATATTTTCTTCTATGCGCGTGGTTTGCATTTTTGTGCCACGTGGCTTTCACATTCACATAGTCATCATACATCACATTCCATCCACCTAGATCCATCCATCCACAGTTATCTTAGTTATTTTGTCATGTTTTAATTGTTGGGAAAATAAATTCTTACTTTTTATAAACTTGACTCTCTTCTTGAATTAATACGAAGTGTTCTACAATCCCTGAATAAACAAAGAATTCTAAATCTTCTGGTTAAACATTCAAAGACCAATCAGACTGGATTTCCATATTTATATTTATATTTATATGGAAATTCACATCACATTGGTCAAAGTGTAGAGTAGTATATTAAGCTTTAAAAGCACCCAAATACATACAATAATTACCCTCTCTACATGTGTTCTGAGCTGCAGAGAAGCCCGGACTCCAGCTGATGGAATGGCAGGATCCGGCAGATTAAAGGCAACACATGTAGACTCCTGTCTCAATGTAGACCAGATACTGAAGGGGTCAAACTGTACATGAAAAACTGACCTTTTCTGGACCTTACACTATAATATTCACCCTACATGTGCTACGTTTGTACCTCCTCTCGTCCTTTCCCATAAACGGGAGTCTCCCGGCAGGAGGTGATTTTCACGCGTAAAAACTCAAATGTTTAATACGAACAGACCCATTAGTGTTGCTCAGACTGCTGAAGATGGACATCTCCACTATCTTCTGATGTAGAGCAGTAACGTCATGAGGGATAATATTTGCATCTGTGGCTTGTTAAAGAGCAAGTAACGCCTAAATCAACTTTTATTTAATTGTTTTTTTTTTTGCTGATAACCTGTATATATGAGTGTAATGGTGCTGTACACACTTGTAATCATTAGTGTGGCAGTTTAGTGCAACTTACTCTAAATTTAATATTTCAGCCCAAAACCATAATTATATCTCCATCTTCAGCTTAAAAACTCTGCTCCACATTTATGTAGAACCAGCTGATGGCTAAGCTGAAAAACGTGACATTATCAGCAAATTACTACGTGGCTGCATTGCACTGGTCTCCAGGTGAGGCAGCCACACCTCCACCTGGCTCAGCCACTCACCTGCCGATATGACACGCTGGCTCTCTGAGCCGCTCACCTCCTTGAAAAAAATGCCCTCCGCCCCTTTTCATCTAATGATCGTGGTTAATAGGAAATCCTCCAGAGTGCTGCAGAATCTGTCTGCCCTTCTCCTGAGGGGTAAGTCTTGTGTGAGTGTGTGCTTGCGTGCACGCGCTCGTTAACAGCTCGTTTTTAAATAGAGAAACTCCGACAGCATGCGCAGGGGGGTTGAGGGGGATGAGGTCTACCACTGCCTCAGTGCCGCTCTCTCGGTCCGCCAGGCGACGCCTCATTCAGAAGCGTTTTCCTAACAGGAAGTTTGGATGAAACACGTTTCCACCCAGGCCTTGACCCTCACTTTAAAGTCGGCAATTTTGCGACTTTGGCTCTTAAGGGGTTAAATCCATCTTTGGACGTACAAATCATGAATATTTATGAGAATCGATTCAGAATGGGAGAATCTATTTTTTTATTTTTGTTTTTCAACACAGCCCTACTCTCATGGGACAAATTCATGAATTATCTGACTGATTTTATTTAAATCGCTGAGTTGTTGAATTCAAAGCAAAGTTTGTGAAGTCCACAGCAAGCTCTCTGATGTACAAACTGTTTTTCAGGAACTTGGACTTTCCACGTTGGACGTGCTGCTGCTCCTTTTTGGACGAACCTTGGCTCTGACAGAAATTGGCCAACCTGAGGTGAATCCAAGGATTCGGGATTTCTTTTAAAAGTTCACTGAAAACAAATTTCTGATGAGTTTAGTTTGTGTTAAAGTAGAAAAACTAAGGTTGAATCTTTTTAATTTTTAATTATTTTTTATTTATTTGTTTATTTTATTAGAGGAGTTGCACTCCTACTCCTCTAAAAATCCAAGCAAGTCTCAGATCTCATCATTTGTTTTTTTTTTAGGAACTCACGGAAGCTCAGAAACTCCTGGAAAAGATGAAATCCTACGAGGAGCGAACGTTTCAATGTCTGTGTTTCTACGCTCTTGGAAAGGTGTTTCTCAGAGAAAACAGGTACAGACGAATCCTGGCGACACACACACACACACACACACACACACACACACACACACACACACACACACACACACACACACACACACACACACACACACACACACACACACACACACACACACACACACACACACACACACACACACACACACACACACACACACACACACACACACACACACACACACACACACACACACACACACACACACACACACACACACACACACACACACACACACACACACACACACACACACACACACACACACACACACACACACACACACACACACACACACACACACACACACACACACACACACACACACACACACACACACACACACACACACACACACACACACACACACACACACACACACACACACACACACACACACACACACACACACACACACACACACACACACACACACACACACACACACACACACACACACACACACACACACACACACACACACACACACACACACACACACACACACACACACACACACACACACACACACACACACACACACACACACACACACACACACACACACACACACACACACACACACACACACACACACACACACACACACACACACACACACACACACACACACACACACACACACACACACACACACACACACACACACACACACACACACACACACACACACACACACACACACACACACACACACACACACACACACACACACACACACACACACACACACACACACACACACACACACACACACACACACACACACACACACACACACACACACACACACACACACACACACACACACACACACACACACACACACACACACACACACACACACACACACACACACACACACACACACACACACACACACACACACACACACACACACACACACACACTCACTCACTCACTCACTCACTCACTCACTCACTCACTCACTCACTCACTCACTCTCTGCCCTGGTTCAGGTTGCACAGTAATGTTTGTGCCTCCTGCAGGTTTGCTGTTGCTCTGCAGCAGTTTTCCGATTCTCTGCAGATGGTAAAGAACCAAATAAGTCCAGGTAAACTCACCTGGCCTTTAACAAAAGAGGTCGTCAAGGAAACCCAACCAGACTATTTCAGGGTAAGTGGCCCTTTAGGACTGATGTGTGCTGACATAACCAAGCTTTTATTCTATTTCCTCCTGAAATTGTTCTGCTTGTTTTGTGCATAAAGGCCCAAACTATGAAAGGTTTTCAAAAAGAAACTACAAACAGTCCAAATAAATGTGAGAATGTATAAAACTTTAGTATGTAAACAGAAAACAGCCTATTTTAACCTCTTTATGTTTGTGTGTTTTTAGGATCTTCTGGAGCGTTGTATAGAACTGTGCAGATTTCCTCCTGCTCCTGATGCCGTTTGTCGTCTAGAAATATGTCTGTGCCCTTTGAAAACTGAAATCTACTTAACTGACCCAGATTTTAAGGTAACTGCAGCAGATTTTGGCATTTAAAATCCTATAAAACTTCTCTGAGCTATTGGAACTTGTTTGTTTTTATTTAACAGGGCTACGTTCAAATGTGCTGCTGTCAGAGCTGCAGGGTTGAGTTTCACATCAACTGCTGGAAGAGCCTGAAGACAACTAAATTCTCTGATAAGAATGAAAAGGTCGGTTTAGGTGGCTTCATCCCGAACAATCGCTGCGGTTTCTGCTCACAGAGGAAACACTGTCTGTGTTTTTGTGTTGCAGGATATTCTCCATGAAAAGTGTTTGACTCCCGACTGTGTAGGCCAGATTAGTAGTATCAAAATCTATTGTCCAACTGGTTTGGTGAAATGTAAGGTAAGATTAAAAACCCGAGTAACCTGGAGGTCCATAAACAGGAGGAATGTTGATGAGTGTTTGTCTTTTCAGTTTGAATCTACAATCTCTAAACCAGCGGTGCTAAAGAGGCCCAAAGGGAATCAGAAATGTACAAGGTGAGTTTTTAGCTTTGGTGACATCCTACCTTAAAAATACTATTACTTTAAAGTGGATCTGTCTAAAAGTTGCTTTCTTTTGGCAAGACACTGGAGATAACAGCCCTATTTTAGAGTTGGTTTGATTTATAAACGCTGAGATTCTTGCTGCACTCCTGGGTCTCACAGGGACTCGTCTTTGCGACCATCAACAGGTTTGCAGGAACAAAGGAACAGTCGTGCGTCCTCTGCCAGCGTGATGCTGGTTTAAGTGGAATAGCAGGATCTTTCTCTTGTTCTTTAAGGTGCATGTTTGTTTGTTTTTTCTCTCCAGTCTAAAGAAATTAAGATCAAAAGAGGAGCACAAGGTCAAAAGGAAGCAGTATAAGCAGTCGTCTGAAGAAAAGAAGACCTCCCCCGATGAGATTCTGCAGCAGAAAGAAGAATCCGGGTCACAAAGTCAACAGAAAAGTACAGCTTCTGTTATAATGTCTGAAAAGGTGCTCTTCTCTGCTGCTGCTCTAACGTGTGATTCGTGTTCTCAGCCTGGTTGCTGTACAGAGATCGAGTTCTGCTGCTGATCAGCCAGAACGTGGATCTCCTCAGAGAGGAAAGGGGTCTCGAGATTTCTGTCCTGACCGGCAGTCTGAAGCCTTGGTTGGAGCTGGACCTGCTGAGGGGGAACCAGATAGCCAGAAGGCTGCTGAACCACAACCAGCAGGAGTCGGTGAAGGACTTGGGTCAAGTTGTTGAGCTGCTGCTGGAGAGGAAGAACCGGGTTTGGGCCAGAGTGTTTGTCCAAGAACTTAGTAGCTGTGTGGATATAGATCCTAAGCTGAGCAGCTGGGCGTGTCAGCTCAACGCCGAAGGTCAGCCTTCACCCTCATCTTCATGCTGCTGTTAAACATTCAGTCACCATGAAGTTGTCCTGACCACCTGCTTCCTACGTTTAGGTCTGAACTCTGCTCGGAGTTTCATTGATCGCCACTCGGAACACCTGGAGCAGCTGGATCTGACGCTCCTGCTTGAATTTGGACCGTTGAAGGAAATGATTTTAGAAAAGTTGAGCATTCGGCCGGAGTTTTTTTCAAGCAATGGCTTGACTGTGACTGAATACCTAAAACAGGCTCCGCCTCATGACATGAGACTCTTTATCTGGACTTTGGAGGAGCATAAAGACCACTATGTGTCCTGTCACACTATACTGGATGAGTATTTTTATACAATGGGTGCGTATTTTGAACCTGAACGTTTAGATTATTTGTTTTTACGCTTGTTTGAATGGTTTTACTGTCTTTTGTGTTCCAGATGGACATTGTTCAGTCTTAAAAAAGTCTGATGAAAATGTAAGCCGTGAAACTTTAGACTGTAATCTCATAAAAATATAAAGACCCACTTTGATCCTGTAGAGGCTTGAGAAACCTCAAACATTTATTCCTCGTTTTCATTTCAGAATTCTCCTACAAAGGCTAAAAGTCGAGGACGGAAAAAGAAGCAGAAGGAGAAGGTGGGAAAGTTTAGGTGGTGATTTTTTTTAACTTTTAAGAAGAACCTTGTGTGATTCTTCTGTTTGTCCTTTCAGGGTGTTTTTGTTTTGTCTGGCATCAGAGCACTAAAGCCTAGAGAGGAATGGGACCAAGACCTGTTTGAAGACGACTCTTTGTAAGATTAATTTTCTACTCTCAGACAAAATAAAGACGCCGCTCCTGTAACAAACAGAAGCTCAGGCTGTTTTCCTGCCAACAGATCATTCCTTCACCCCGCCGATCCCTTCAGTGTACCCAGCCACCTTCGGGAGGAAGTGGCAGATTTTGAGGACCAGTACAACACCAGAACCAAAACCTATAAAAGCTTTTTGGATAACAACCCCGATCCGACTAGAGAAAGTTTGTATGAGTAAGTTAGGTCTACTTTACAACATTTTGGTAGCCTTTAGTTTCTGGGTGTTGGGGTTGATCATCCGTTCCTCCTCTTTCTGCAGCTACTTTGCTCAGATCCTGGAGGAGCACGGCCCCCTTAACGCGGAGGACCGCCTGCTAGTAGGAGAGCTGGAGAACTTTCCTGCAGTGGCGAAGCTGAAGATCGAGGAAGCGGGCGGCGTTGAGGCCTTTTTGGTGGAGTCCCTTCGTTTTATTAAGATGGGCCGGCGTGTCGGTCTGGCCAAGCACGCCGTGCGCATGCAGCAGTCGGAATATGCAACCAGTCTGGACAACCTGGATGACATCGACGTCTGCTGCATCTCTTCACCTCCTGATTTCTACACGGCGTGTGATTTCACCAGCTACCTGGGGCGCAACCCCCCAGCTTACACAGACTCTCCTCCCATCCTCCCAAATCCTTACCCGTTTTACTCTCAGTTGCTGGAGAGCAGCCCCCGTTGTCACTGGAGCGAAGGAGACCTGGAACAGCCTTATGAATTTTTACCTGTTGTAGATCCTGCCCTCGATGCCCTCGATGCAGACTTTTCAGTTTTGGAAACGGATTTGACTCCAGAGAAAACGGTTTTTATTCCAGCTGATGAAAACCTTTTCAGACAACATGCAGCGGTGCAGGTGAACACCGTTTCATCACATTAGCTGAAACCTGTGTTAACGTTCTTATTGTTAAGGCCTTCTGTTTTTCTGTTAGACGCATCAGGTGCCCAAGAGAAGTGTGGCAGTGAACACCGAGTTATATTCACGTTTTGAGAACAGTCAGGTGAGTTTTATCAGTTGAGATATACCTGAACTCTGAAATCGTCCAAAAGGAGGAAGTTTCTAGCGGTAAAATCAAAAGCTCAAATGTTTCCTTAAGAAGAAATGAGACTGTTATTATAAAGCACATCTCAAGAATTATTTTCCCTTTACTGGTTTTAGGGCGACATCAACAAAAAGGAAAAGAGCATCAGGATGTTGGAGCGGCAGATAAAGAAAATGAAAAACCAAATCAAAGTCAGTCCAAGTAAAGATGAGGCTACTATTCTGGAAGAGGAGATAAAGACGATCTCCTCAAATATACAAGTAGGTCTAAATCTGTCGCGTTAACGCTGAATACACGCATTCCTGCAATCTTGTTGCTTTTTGGAGAATATTGCTGTTTTTTTAAGCCAAGTGCAGCGTTCACGTGAATCGTATAGATCCACAGAGGGGGGTCAGAGAAAGGAGGGGGATTCATATTGCTCACAAACTCTTTGTTGTAGCTTTTCAGTCACGTCATCATTTGACCAATGAGATGGCATGCTAAAAACTGCATAGACTGGGCAGTGCGACACGTACATTAATGGCTACTGTTGTTTTAACGTCTCACAGCGGTTTTGAGCTTAAAGTTTGTCAATTCAAATAAAATCACCACTAAATAAGTTTTCTGTCTAGGGCTTTAGCAGATTTACCTCCTTTCATCCTTTATAGATGTTTTCTGTGGCTTCTTATTTTTTGGGGGTGGTTAACACAAACACACAGTATTTAACCCCGTTAAAATGTAATAATAGCAACATAAATGGCCACCATGATTTTAATTGGGTCCCCCCCCCCCCCCCTTTTTATTTTTATTTGTTTTTGTTTACACCTATTGAGTTTGCAGGTATGTTTCGATGAGCATGAATGCCTAAATGTGTATTGTGTTGCTTAGGTGACCCATAAAGAGCTGGCCATGTTCCAGGAGAAGCTGGAGGAGGAGGTGAAAAAGTACCAGAAGGAGAAGAAGGCAAACCAGGAGGAGCTGAAGGCCCTGAAGATGGCAATCGAGCAGCTGGGTGAAGAACAAACAAGGTGAAGAGCGGTGATTACAAACATCCGGACCAGCAGGTTATACGTTAAATATGTCATTCATTTCTTTTTTTCATTTAATTGTGTGTGTGTGTTTCTCTGTGTGTGTGTGTAGTCTCTCCCAGACCATCAGAGACAACAACAGCATCTATGAAGAAAAGCTGAATGACTTCTTGGAGTTTAGGTAAACTATGAGCTGAACACAAATGCAAAATTTACTGATTATTATTCCTGACTTATTTATTTTTTATGTCAGTAATCAGTCGGCAGGTGAGAAGATGAGTCTGGAGGATGAGATTAAACGCTGCAGATCCTTGTTGGGCTCTGCCAGCAGACGTGTTCAAACAGCTCAGGTAGGTCTTTTGGATTCAGGGTTTTATCCTCTAAACTGTAAAAACCCTGATTTTCTTTGGTTTTTGTGTAACTCAGACTACTAAAATCATGCATTAATGGCCAATTAGCTGCAGAAACACATTAGGAAAGCCCTGCATATAGAGGGGGAGCACCAACTGTCCTTTAACCTCCGGTTTCGTGTCTCCAGCTGTCCATGGTGAACAGCAGCCGCGATCAGGCTTTGTCTGCACCCAGCAAAGAGCTGGCCGACTCCAAGGCTCTACTGGCCAAACTGGATGAGGTGTGCCACAGGTAAGAGGAGGGAAGTCACCTGAGGTGTTTTTATGCCAGATCCAGGTGTGAAAACTGTTTTATTTCTCTGCAGAGCCCCAAACGAGCATTTAGAAATGACCCGAAAAAACTGCAGAGCCAAAATAGAAGAATTGGAAAAGAACATTTCCATTTCTGAGGTGAACATCAAACTGAAGCTTTTCTGAGTTTATAGTAGTTTAACTTAATCAGTGTTTTTGACACACACAATGTAGCATCCACTCTGTTGTCTTCCACAGAGACGGTTCCAGGAGCAGCTCGATCAGCTTAAGAACAGCAGAGGAGACTGTGAGAATGGCGATCCTGAACCTGCAGCTGCACCAGTAAGGCCAGTTTAACATGGTTCCCTTTCAGTCGTTTCACTCGGTACAACGAAGGTACTATGGGACACCACGCCCTCGTGTGTCCTGGCTGAAGGCACATTTAATCACGCCTGTAAAGGCAAATGAGCTCGACGCTGGGTGGTGGCCCCGCCCTCCACCTATAAGCCGCCAGCGTCACCGGCATTTTTCAGTTCTTATGCACTTCACCTTGCTGATAACACGTGAGTACAAATAAACGATTGTTAGCTGTGCTATTGAAAAGTTAGCTTAACTGCTCGCTGGTGTTGATTCTGCTGCCTTCTGGTCAGCGTTCGCCTTCCGAGCGCTACCTTTTCATGGCTGTTTTAGCTTTCTGCCTCCATGTTCTTTTGCCCCGCCTCTCCGCTCTGTGTCTCGCCATGAGCACCGTGTTGGACTCAGCTAGGTGAAAGTCTGCTTCGCGTCCTTGTCCTCAGGGCTGTGGGTTTTTTTTTCCTCCATGACAAGCACCTGCATGAGGACTGCCATGTCTGAATGTGGGTTATTCATGCCAACAGAGCGCTCTGGGACCCGGAGGTGTGCGATTTCTGTGAACTTCTTCCAACGTGTCCTGGGGACACTGTTTGCAGCAGGACCTCATGCTCTCCGAGTCGGCTCCTGCGTCTATGCACGGTTCCGACGCGGGTGGTCTAGTGATAGAGTTCCCCGTTGCAAGCTGGGCAGATCACATGGAGGTGACAGACAGGCAGACCGACCTGGAGATTCCCCAGTTCTCTCCTCTGGCGGAGAACGAGTAGGGCGTGCTGGACATTTGTAAATCCCTTCTGTGACCAATTTGAACTGTCCATAGCCCGAAACTGCGTAGTGGGTGGACAGAGGCTTCCCCCAGGATGACGCGAGCTCAGCTGTGAAGTCCATGAAAGGTGGTAGTAAGTTTTTGACCTCAGCCGATTCGGTGCGGAGGTAAAAAAAAAAAAAAAAACTTACAAAATGGGACCCATTTGGTCCGGCGGATGAGCAGGCCAATCCACTTTAAGTTTTTCTGCCGCTCGTCGGCAAAGCGGAAGAAAAGAAGTTTCCTCCCGACGTTTGGGAGTTGAGGCAGTGGTAACACAATCCACCGCAAAGATTTTCCAAGTCCCCGGCAGGTCGTGACTGGTCAGAGCGCACTCTACTAGAGGTTTGACTATTTCAAGGGCGCTGTTTAGGGTGCTTCATTTAATGACATTGGCTCAGTTGCGAGCTGGGCTGCACCCCACACTTTTGCGGGATTATACGGTCTGGATTTCATGGCCCCTTCGGCCGCTCATGAAGTTTTTTCTGCCGGGTCTGCGTTGCCATCTTAAATGACGTTGTCGGCCCAGGTTTTATATGTCCCGTAGTACCTTCGTTGTACCGAGTGAATCGACTGAAAGGGAACGTTAGGTTATGCTTATAACCACTGTTCCCTGAAGGAGAGGAACGAGGTACAAGGCTGCCCCCTTCGCAGCCTAACTCGGTGAAGAGCGACTATCACACTGAGAAATGCCGGTGATGCTGGGGGCTTGTAGGTGGAGGGCGTGGCCAACACCCAGCGTCGCGCTCATTTGCCTTTACAGGCGTGATTTAAATGTGTCTTCAGCCAGGCCACACAAGGGCGTGACGTCCCATAGTACCTTCGTTGTACCTCATTCCTCTCATTTAGAGCCCTGCACGGGCCTAAAATCTGAGCCCATGTCCGGCCCGGCCCGAGGGGGTGGAGCCTCAGCCCGACCCGGCCCGAAAAGGTTTTCAGGATTCTCCGGCCCGAGCCCAAGCCCGACTTTTTTTTTTAACCATCTAAATGAAAACAAAGTGCGTCAATCCTGACCGATGTGTTAAAAGACGTGCAGGATCCAAGCGTCGCAGAAGCGCATGCGGGAAGCTTCCTCCCACTGAAGCGAGTGTTTTCCAAACCCTGTCGCTCAGAGAGACTTGTCACTTAGAAAATGTTCCCTGATTATGAAACTTTGGCTGAATAGCGCTTGTTCCTGTCTCCAATGTGCGCCACATCCAGGAGCCGTCTGAGGAGAAGCCCAGAATCTCACATCCTCTTCAGCTCATGAGCGCATATGATTACGCACAAGCGTGACCCAACCCGGTCTCACAGTAAGACCGGGTTGGAACTGTTCAGGTTTACGCAGACAATCTTCACATAGAATTGACTTACAGATATAAAATTAATTCAGTAAAATATAAAGCATTTTATTTAAATATCCATTCATTATTTTACAAGCACAGAGAGCCGCATCAGATGGATGGAAGAGCTGCTGGTTGCCGATCCCTGCTCTAGTTCAAGATATCATTAAAATTCCAAAAGTGCTGAAAAGATTAAAAATGGGGCTTTCCGTGCATATACAATACATTACGGTAGCCACCGGGATTCCCTGTCTTGAGCGCAACGAATCACAACACAGATTCAGAGACGTGCGAGTTTGTCATCCAAAATGCTCCGTTTTATAACTTTTGAATGGCTGATCAGATTCAAATAATTCCAACGGTTCCTAAAAGTACATAAAAGCAGCTTTCCAACGATCTATAGCATGAAGCAATCAGAGTTAGAGAAATTATCGCTACGAGGGGAAATCCTGCTGTACAGCCTGATTGAAATGGAGCGCAGCGCTGCGGTGAAAGCGGATAACCTATAAAATGACATGTTGAGGACGCAAACTCAATACATCTCTTTTATTGTGAGGTAATAATTTCTCCGAGTTTTGCAGTTGCGGGCGGGAGTAGACATGCACGCTGCAGGTGCGGGCGGGAGTAGACATGTACGCTGCAGGTGCGGGCGGGAGTGTAACACACACGTTGCGGTTGCAGGCTGTAATGGTCAGAAATTCAGCGGGAGCGGAGCGGGATGAAGAAAACAGTCCCGCGCAGGGCTCTACTGCTGCGTTTAAGTGTTTTAATTTTTTTAATGATTTCGATTAAAAATAAAGGCGCCCGGCCCGGCCCGTGTCCGAGGTAATTACACAGTCGTTGGCCCGAAGCCCGGCCCTCGGGCCGGGCCGACCCGAGGGCCTAGGGCTTCAGTGCAGGGCTCTACTCTCATTCAGGGAACAGTGGTTATATGCATAACCTAACGTTTTAATTAGTTAATCCTTTATCGATGTTGTAAAACTTTTGTTTGGGTTTATAAATGTAGCTGTAAGAAAATTGGTAACGTATCCTTCTGACCCATTGTCTTTGATTCAGCTCTGCGCAGCAGCTAAAGACGTTGTCCCACAACCTTCAGCTCATGCCTCCAACAGCATGCCTCCACCCGCAGCTGAAGCTCCTGCGGTGAACGAGCACAAAGCTGTCAAACAGAAGCCGGGGCCTCTGTTTGACAGAGTCATGGAGAGCCTAACAGCCATGTTTCCTGACTATTCAAGGTAAGAAAATTTCAACGATCAGATGTGAGATTATGAGGTTAAAACCAAATAAATCCTGGTTATGAAGAGTTTTTCTTGTTTGTGTTCAGGCCAGATTTGATGAAGTATGTTGCAGAGTTTCGTTTGGCCAGAAGTGGAAGTCTGCACGCTGTGACGTTGCAGGATTGTGTGAGTGGAGTGACTCAGCGGATCCTAGACCATCAGGTAGACTAATCACAACTCACCTGTCTCACCCTCCCATGTGCATTGATTACTTGTTGACTGTTTCCAAGTGAGACAACTTAATATTGTTCAAGCTCTGTGTGGTGAATTCAGTTTTCCTCTTCTCAGGAAAAGCTGAAGCGTGCCAGAGCTAACGTTGTGGGCCGCTCCAGCCCAGCTCGGAGTGCTACCCCCCCGCCGCTGACCCAGGCTCCTGTCTGGCAGTCGCTCAAAACCCAGAGTCTCAGAAATCCAGATGCCGTAAGTCCAACATCATTAGGTGGTGAATTAATTAATTACTAGTTCAAACACTTAGTCTCGCTGCTTTGTCTCATTAATTCTCTCGGCTCCTAAACCGCTGCTCATCTCCATCTGATCCAGCCTCTAGTAGGAATCAAATGTGATAAAGATCAACTTCATCTTCATCAGAGAAGCTCTGTCTGGCTCATCCGCTGATCACGTTGTTTACGTTCTGGTTGCAGCTGAACATGGAGGACCCGTGCATCATCTGTCATGAAGACATGAGTCCAGAGAACACCTGCGTGCTGGAGTGCAGACACAGCTTCCATAAAGAGGTGAGTGTGGATCAGTTTATCGGTTTCAAATACCAAGAAAACATTTTAATGTGCAGTTCTGGTTCTGTTCAGTGTATCCGGTCCTGGCTGAAGGAGCAGAGCACCTGTCCCACCTGCAGGAATCACGCCCTTCTGCCCGAAGACTTTCCAGCTTTGTCTGGCAGGAAACGCCATGCCCCCTGAAGTCTCCTCCCGTACTCAGTTATATGCTTTTATGTTTTTTTAATTTCTTTCTTTTAAAATTGGACTTTAATTTTTGGCTTTCTTATTCTAATGCTTTTGTGTTTGTGCTGGAGAAGCCGTTTCATGTCCCAGTGCTGCAGGTTACCTGTAGTTTTTTTTAAGCTTTTTAATTGTTTACTTATTAGAGAATCTGCTATTTGCAAACCAAACAGGCCGCCTTTTAAATGCTATGTGGGTTTTGTTGAACAAAATAATAAATGTTACAAAACTTCAGACTTGTCGGGCTTTATTTCATTTATACAGTCTTTACAAATGTTTTCGCTCCCAACAGTTCCTCAAGGACTCGTTAGACTTGAGCCAGGTGGTGGAGGTGATGCTGAGGCTGGTCCCAAGTCAGATTTATCTCACTTTTAAGTCGTGTGTGAAAAGTCTTTCAGAGTCGACACAGCTTGAGAGGAAAGTTCTCCGTGATCAGATGATCATCATGGAGGACGATGACTATGTTGATTTCAAACTCTAATGGACATAAACAAACGTTTTAGTCACTTCCCACTGGTCAGATGTCTGAACTGGGTGGTTTCACTCACCAACTTTGAAGTTGGTGGTTTCCAGTGTGGGGCAGGTGAAGAGTCGAGGGAAGACCATGTAGATGGGAATGGAGAGGCCATGGCACACGTCTCCTTCAGCGATCTGGATGTTCTGGATCTCTGTAGCATCTCGGGCGTACCCTTCAGCACAACCTGAGTACAGAGAAGAGCTTCAGCTCTGCTGCTGCAGCAGCATCAACCCTCGGAGTTAAAAACTCACCACATGTCTCCACTCTAACCAGCTGCAGCTCAATGCTCTTGATGGGGACATCTGATTTCTCCACCACCAACTCTCCCGTCAGCGGCTGACTGATCACACAGCTTGTGGCGTCTAAATGGCCTCTGATCAGAAATTTTGGTAGAGAGCTCCTCTGGAGAGAAACGGCACATCTCAGTTTCAGTTAGAAATGAAAAGAAACAAACATTTTGAGGTTGTGGCTTTTCCTCACCTCGCGGATGTTCTGCAAGGTGTCCGGAGTGATGCTGAAGTTAACCGGGGCAGCAACTATTTTAGCTTTACATGGCTGAAAATCAAAAGGATCAACAACTGTTGCATCTCGTCTGATGGAGTTACCATTGAAGGAGAAATAAAAGTGTGAATGCAGAAGCTGCATCAGAGCAGGGGCCTCATTTATAAAGCTTGCTTACGCTCAAAACGGGTCCAGAAAACTGCATAAGCAACTTTCCACACAAACTTTGGGATTTATGAAGCACAGCGGAACTTTAAGTTGACTAAGGACCTGGCTTACACACATGTTGGACATGGAGAGCACCTGCAGTGCTGCTGCTGAGAAGGATAAAATTATGAAATCCTGCAGCATTATCACCTGTACTGCTTCGTTTTCACACAGAACAAGAACCCCCCCCCCACACACACACACACACACACAGCCTGAAGCGCAGAATACGGAATGCAGATTATCAGCAGGGGGACAGATTGAGACAGAATGTCATGCGTCTGTGACAGTGTGTGTGTCCTGTCACTGTGACCTGATTGATCATGCGCCCTGGCTACCTGGACAAGGGAGACCTCCGATAGGGTGACTGGTTAGCGCGCACGTGACTTTCACCCAGGAGTCTGGGGATCAAATCCCAATTGGACCATTTTTTTATACCCGCCACAGATCTCTGAAGAATTTACAACATTGACGGCTTCAGCAACACTGTGCCACTCCGTGGATTTTCTCTTATTTGTTTTGCAAAAGCACTTCCTTTCATTTCTCCACCCCACCCACAAGTACCTCAATTTCAGCTTGTGAAATAGCGCTTCCTTGATCTGCGGTCGTGATCGAAATGCTGCAACAAGTCGGCTTATGTATATGCATGAGGTCCATAAGGCACTTTGCATTGACCATTTATGGCAGTAAGTGGGCGTGGTGAGGGTGGGATGTGACTAAAAAGCAGCTGAGAACCATTCTAGATAGTTTCCGATTTATAAAGCAGAGACTGCGGCCAAGTGTGGAGGATTGTGGGTTGCCCTCTTCTCCCCAATGTGAGTGGCGCAATTTTGGTGCTGGTGCCTCTGCGTCTTGTTAGGGCCTTGGGCTGAGGAGGGCGTGACGTGTCCAAGGAGCGGAGCTGTGCCAGGGGGCTGCGGAGAGACTGGCGGTGTGCGCAGCAGCCAGCAGGCGAGGGGACGATGCTGGAGCCATGGCGGCAGCACAGACGGCTTGCTGCAGGTGGTCGACTTTGTGCCTGACAGCCAAAGCACAAGGTGGAGCAGACTGGGTCCCAGCTATGTGGGTCAACACTGTCCGCTGGAGCCAAGAGGTGGCTCCTTGTACTGGACACCATCCCGCCCCTGGTGATGCACATGATGTTTTAGACAGTTTTTAGGACTGCTTTTATGTTTTTTTTGTTTTTTTTTTACTCCTTCAGCCTCTAAAGACTTGAACTTTTAGCGTTGTCGTTGCTCCTCCAAATAAATGATCTAGTTTAGTGTTCAGTGGTTGCCCTGCCTGTTCAGACCATGAGTCACTTGTTTTCCCCCTTGTATCCGGAACCTGCAGCCGTGGACGGGCTGCTGCGGGGTGACACGTACCCCATGTTTGATAGATCACAAACCTACTTGGCGTAGGTACTTTTTTTTTTTTTTTTGCCAAGCTGAAGTACGGTTTTAGTAAGGATTCTTCGTAATGTTTGATAAATGAGACCCCTGGTGAGGTGCTGAGCTCACCTGAGAGTGAACGATAAACTCGCAGCTCCTGCTCAAGTCTTTAGCCAACAGGGAGCGCTTTAGGTCACAGCGGAGGGTGTACTGTAGAAAAAACACGCATTACAAACGGGAACACACAGATGTGCCCCAAAGAGCTACAATAAATCATGTATAAAGAAAAAAAAGATTTTAGTCTTCAAAGATGTATAAACATTAATTTATAAATCTGAATGACCTGAATGTTGACGAAGACTCCGTGATACGTCTCGTAAAGCACTTTGTTCCCTTTCATGTGCAGAGGGAACTCGAACGGGATCTCCGTCTTTCCTCCTGGGATTTTTCCTGCCTTGGCCACCTCGATGTTACTGCTGATCAGCTGGATCGGCTGCAACACATTAAAACAGATTTATCATTGGCAATGTTTGAAAAACACTCCGCATCAACTGGAAGGTTTGTGTGTTTAATGGTCAAAGTCTCTCCTCTTGGGGGTGCCAATGAGCAGGTAAAGTGATTTAAGTGATTGTTGAATACACACAAGTTATTGAAATTAAGTGGTTTTGACACAAAGTAGTATAGTATATATTTGACCTGATATTCAGGGAGATGTGAGCTCACCTTGACAGAATTGTAGAAAGCCTCAAAGACACCGACACTCTTGGAGCTCAACTGGAGGTTTACGATTCCCTCCATGCTCAGCGAGATGCCGTGATGCTGCATCGCCTCTTTACATGTCAGCACGATGACACCTCCCACGGTCTCCTGCAAATGATAAAAGTAATTATTTTTCAATTCCTGAAAATGTTTCCAAAGGATGCATTACTTAATTAAAAAAAGATGGTTGGTGGTTGAGGAACCTGCAAACATTGTTTGAGCCTTTGTATTTTATTTCAGTGATCGTTTTAAGAAAGCAATTTATGCAAGCTGCTTGGTGGAGCAGTTGGTAGGGAGGTTACAGGTTCAAATCTCAAATTTCTGTGCAAATTTGACATGTTCTCTTCATGGATGTGTGTGTTTTCTCCTACAGACCACAAACATGCTTTTTCAGGTTAATTGAAGACTCTGAATTGTCCCTAGGTGTGAGTGAACAGGAGACTGGTTGTCTGATGGTCTGTTCATTGAAGATCTGTGACGTAGATCTGTCAGGCTTCTCAAATTCTAGAATTTCACCGTCTATGTTCTATCAGAAGCTAATGCAGGAGATAGGTGTAGGAGACTATTTTCATGTTCAGCCTGCATGAAAACTCAGTCTGACCAATTATAATCAGAAATAACAATTGATTTTTTTCAGTAACCCACACCTTTAATGCATAATGTCATTTTAAGTAGGGCTGCACAATATATCGTAAATATATCGTTATCGTGATATCAGCATGCACAATATGCATATCGCAAAGAACAGATAAATATCGCAATGAACGGTCAGCTCAAATGTTTGCTCAACATAATTTATTCTGTCAGTCAAACGGAAGCATGATGTTTTTTTTTTTTAACAAATCAGAGCTTTTCACCCATTTGGCCAATTGAGTGTGTTCTCATAGGTCAGATGCCCGCCCCATGACACCTCAGGAGGACCCAGATCTCACGGGTAACAGAATTTCTCGTAACATGGTCACAAACCAGGTCACGTGAGAGCGACTTGCCAGAGCAAATATTCAACAACAAGCTCGTTTCCGTTTTAATAAAGTCAACAGGATCACTGATGAATTTAAGACTTTCACATGCAGGATGTTTACATTATTAGAACCGACTGAACGGATGCTAAGTGATTGCGGACAACAACTTACCCCTTCACGATACACTTTGTTCGCTCTCTTCAGTTTTATGTCCAAAGTGACGCTCATGGCGGAGCTGAGTGGAAAGTTTAATTACTTCAATAACGTCTAGGACTCATTTAGTTGATGCAACAAAAAAATCACTCTTTAAATATAACCGAGTAACCTGTTCCTGATGAGAAACTAGTCAATATCCGGGTAACTTCCGAAATAAATTTACCATTTCCGCCTTTATTTGGAAGCTTCCGCTCTGTTTCCTTCGAAGTAAAAGCACAATAAATGATGAAAGAGGGACACAGCTGGGCTTCGATGGTTTCAACCTCTCACGCAATGACAGTTAACACATTTGACTTGCTTCACACGATCTTACGCCACACACCCAGTTTCTCACGCTATGAGCTACACATTGCGTGAAGTTACTGTACACACGATACAGCGGAACAAGCTCGGTTATAAACGAGAGGATTGGCGCCCTCCAGTGGCGAAAGGCTAGACTATAAACTCTTTCTCAAAGTTGAACAGTTAAACGATTTAGAGAATATTTTATCCTACCTATCCAAATGACGCAGAAAATATCCTAATGTTTTTATCAATTTGGGAATATTAATATTAAGGAGAGAAGAATGTGACATCGTATCACTTCCTGTGGTTTCCTTCAAAATAAAACACCCCACTTAAAATTACTACGGGTTTTACATTAGTTCTAATAGCGTGATTAGTCTAAAAAACGGGAAAGCAAGAACGTCTTCATTTGTACAAGCTACTTAACAAATAAAGCTCAACTAACCTGTGTTCAGCAAGATTAAATCAACACGCTACATCAGGATTATCAATGAACAGTACTACAAACATCAGACCAGTCTTCTGGTGGTATTATGGCGACATTAAATAAAGGTACAGATAAATACATTTTGTTACAAAATTTTACCAACATGAGTTTATAGTTTCTAAACATGTCAGATATAAAACTTTTAGCTCTTAGTTCAAAAACCAACAAATACCCAACTGCATTGAATAAACACACATTTATTAAAAATATCTATATTTTGTTTTAATCAGGAAAAGCAATAATGTAATTGGATTTCACAATAAATGTGTAAACTACTCAAAAAAGGAAGTTAAAACTAAATGCAAATAAAAATACGTGGGTTAAAAGGGTACTGAAAAACTGAGTAAATATTTACATCACAATAGCTGATTTCATTTGGATTATTTGCAATAAGTACCGTATATGTCTAAAGGGCAGATAAGTCAAATTTAATAATGACACTTTAAAATAACAAATGAAGGTAGAAGAAACACATCTCCAAATCACGCTTCTTCACAACAAAGCGTTAGTAACCTTCCACTAGACAATCTAGGGTTAGGGTTGTAACTGCTCTAACATGCAGACAGTATTTAACCCTAAATGTTATATTTGAAAAATATATTTTCTGTAAGAATTGGCTATTTGTATGCTGTAAGCTTGCTAATTTAAAGGACACAATGTGATATAACTATTCTCCAGTGATTGTTCTCTCCTCATTTAATTAATTTCTCGGATAAGTTTTGCTCATAATTGTGTATTTTTACATAGCAAACTGTAATTACAGCATCCATTTTGCCTCAGAAAAATTAAATGTGCTTTATTTCACTTTATTGTGTCACTTTTGCAAAACCTAAAGGCATAATTTATGTTTAATTGAATTACACAAAATAGATCCCCCCCCCCCCCCCCCCCCCCTAATATCAGACAGTGTTGTCTCTGAGAGTAGAGACTTTTTGTACCACTTAAACTCACTAATTGTTTGGACCACATGCACTCAGCTGCAGCCAGTTCCACCTCACCGGCTGCTCCAGGATGTTGCCACAACAAAAGGTGACAGCTGATGACAACGAGAAGACAAAAGCTTGACCTGCTGTGTCCTTCGAAAGGCTTCGATGTTCTGTAGTTTGTTCTTACATCCACACTTTCCTTAGCAGAGCACTGAATCTGAATCAGTTTCATAGATCAAGTTAACTCAGTAATCTTATAAAAGGCGAAATTCAACAGTTGCAAACAAATAAATGTGATTTTCATCCTGGCTGTGGAACGCTAGACCAGGTCTATATCTTTAGAGGGGTCCAGGAGGGTGTGTAGGAGTTCACCCCAACCAATCAGTGTTTAGTGGATTTGGAGAAGGCGTTCAACCGCGTCCCTCGGGAGGCCCTGTGGGGGGGTACTTCAGGAGTATGGGGTACCAGGCCCTCTGATACGGGCTAGATCCTTGAATGACCGGTGTCAGAGCTTGGTCTGCCGGCAATAATTTGGGTCCATTCCCAGTGAGTTGGACTCCACCAACTCAACTTTGTCATAAAATCTGTTCATAACTTTTATGAATAGGATTTCTAGGTGCAGCCAAGGTGCTGAGGGGATCACATTTGGTTGTCTTTGATTTTTGCAGATGATGTGGTCCTGTTGTCTTCATCAGACCGTGATCTCTGGCTTTTGCTGGAGCGGTTTGCAGCCTAGTGTGAGGCAACTGGAATGAGAATCAGATCCACTAAATTCGAGACCATGGTCTTGAATCAAACGCCTTCTCCAGGTCAGGGACGAGTTGATCTACGTTCCTACCCTCACCTATGGTCACAAGCTTTGAGTAGTGACCAAAAGAAGGAGATCATGGATACAAGCGGCTGAAATGAGTTTTCTCCGCAGGGTGTCTGGGCTCTCCCTTAGAGATAGGATGAGAAGCTCAGAGTAGACCCACTGCTCCTCCACATTGAGAGGAGCCAGTTGAGGTGGCTCGAGCATTAGGATGCCTCCTGGACGCCTCCCTGGTGAGGTTTTCAGGGCACGTCCTGAGAGAAGACCTAAAGGAAGACCCAGGACATGCTGGAGGGACTATGTCTCTCAGCTGGCTAGGGAAGGCCTTAGGAGAAGCTGGTCCAAGTGGCTGGAGTGAGGAAAGTCTGAGCCTCCCTGCTTGGCTACTGCCCCCACGACCCAACCTTGAATAAGTGGACGATAATTAAAATATAATATTTATTAATGCACATGCTCTTAATGTGTGAAAGAATGACTACAAACAAGTTGGTTTTGCAGATAGTGGTTAGCTTTACTCACAAAAACAAAACATTTTTGTCACTATCTATGTTAAATACCTAAATGTATCACCATACCCAGTTTACTAGCACAATGTACAATTCATAAGACCAAACACGTTTAACAGGAATAAGGACAGAGAAAGATTTCCACATCAGCACCTGTAATCATAATCCAGATACAAACAGTTCTGCTTATAATTCACATTTTTTTCACACTTTAAACATGGAGACACTTGTAGTTTATTAGTTGGCGAACCTTCACACAGGAGTCACGTTTACTTCATGCAAGGAGGAATATTTCTGTATTGGTGCTAACTTGATACATATTTTTATTTTCATTGTCCGTAGTTTTAATATGAATCCTAAAATGACATTTTAATGACACTAAAAATCTGAGCTAAGGGTCTGCAGTAGCATTTACACTGGTATAAAACTAACTACAAAGCCATTCTAAGCAGTTTCAAACTTTCTGGTTAAAACAAATCTAAATGAAAACTTTAGATCCCCATCACAGTTTAAGTTTTTGTAGTTTAATGTGCTCCAACTGTCACAATATTGTGTGTGTGTGTGTGTGTGTGTGTGTGTGTTCTTTAAAGGTATTTATGACCAAGTAAAATTAAATTTATTCAAAGCAACAAATAAAAAGCGGGGGCAATAAATTGTGTTAGCCCCACCCTTTTGGCTGTAGGGGGAGGGCCTGTGAAGGCCTGAGGAACAGATCAATCAGATTGGAGTGTGGTTTTTTTAGAAAGTGCAACAACTTTTTTTCTATTTTTGCATCCAATATGTAAACAGGTGGAAACCAAAAGTGTTTTTCTATTTGTTTCATGTAGAATTTAAAATGATCATTTTTTTGTTTCTTGATAATTTGATTTACTACTTCTCCAAAAGTCCAACTCCAAGCCCTCACTAGTGTTTTGATCTAAGATGTAATGGTGATGAAAGAATACCTGGTTTGATAGTCTGTCCTACTGAACGTTTCTTCTCAGGCATTGTCTAGTTTCAGCTTCTCTTCGTTGCTGCTAATGACGGCTGTGTTGCTGCTAATTTGCACTTGGTCAAAAAAGTTGAAATCGACAACAAGGCGGCCTCCATCAGTGCTGAAGAGGACTGGCTGGAACTCATAACCCCACAGGATTTCCTGAGGGATGTAAGAGGTCCGGCTCTGGCATGTGGCCGCGGTCGACTCCATGGTGGCGTTGAGGGTGACGAGCAACTCGAAGTCTCGATTGTGCAGGTTTTCTGCTGTCAGACCTGCTAACGGGCTGTGCTCATCAATAACATGGTGGAAGGTGAGTGGAAGAATCAGGAAAGGACAGTCTCCGCTGGAGTCCATGAAGAAATCCACAGAGCTCTGGTGGATTTGGGTCTTCTCACCTTCTTCTGTCACGTTAGAGTGAAAGAGCTTTCCACTAAGCTGACACTGGATCAGGAGGCTTTTCCTCATATTGGCCACCCTCACTACCAGACACAGCTTATCTCGGTATGGGCAGACCACCGCCACCTGACTGAACTTTATGGTTTCTGCTCTTTTCTTGGGCCGAGCCAGTTTGGCCAGGAAGGCCCCTGTGATGAAGATCTCAGCCAGGCCGGTGATGACAAGCTGAGCCACCAGGGTGAAGATGGCCAGAGGACACTCCTCAGAAATATAACGAAAGCCATAACCGATGGTGGTCTGGGACTCGAGAGAGAACAGGAAGGCTCCGGTGAGCGTCTCCACGTTCATCACGCATGGCGTGTGGGTCGAGTTCACCCCAACCTTGTAGTCTCCGTTCCCCATCCCAATCAGGTAAAAGAAAACCCCGAAGATGAACCAAGTCATGACGAAGGTGGAGGCAAACAGGGTGAGCTTGTAGCGCCACTTCATGTCCACTACAGTGGTCCAGAGATCATGCAGATACAGCTTGACCATGCCCTCCACGTTGTCGATCTGCACGTTATTGCGACCGTCCTTTGTCACAATTCTTCGCTGCACCTGTGACTTCCTGTTAGCCATGTTGTTCTGGTTCAACGGCAACGAACTGAGACTTCTAATGTTAAATTTGTATTAACGACGAGCTGCATGGAGATACAAAAGAACAAAATTACTATTTCTTCTTTGTCCAAAGCTAAGCAAATGTGCATAAGTCTCGAGTCACCCAGGGTTTTAAAAATATTTTGCTTCCAAAGAGCCAGAGATGTTGTGTGAGACGCTTCAATAAATTTGCTGTGTGTTATCGTCATAACAGGAAGTAGCACAATTAGGCAGAATTCCTTTTCCAAGCTTTATTTTAACGTGCGCCACATGTAGCAGTCAGGCATCCATGTAAACTTCTCACTCTAGCACTTTTCCTTTTCACCTCTCTTATCCTATACTGCCCTCTAGTGGTAGACATGCCGCAGTGATCTCTAGGGCCCAATCTCAATACTTGCACGGTGCCCTGCGGTCTTCAGCAAAGTGCACTTGCAGAAAGTACACTGTAAGGCTTCGAGTGCATAGTACACAAGTGTGCAAATAATTGCAGAATTGAGTCAGTGAGCATTGCGTCATCAATCGCAGTGCATACCGGGATGCTGGTCGCTGTGATACTGTTTTCAAAAACCTTTATTAACAACTTTTAAACAAACAGCCAAACAGTTCTTTGAAACAAATTTACATTTATTGCTGCTTTGTCTAAAAGTTTTAGAGCATCAACCAATCATCTTAAAATTAACTAATTTCATTAGAAAATACATTTTCAGAAAAGGAACTTGAGCCTTTTCTCCTGCCGCCATGAATTGTGGGTAATACACTTCACCCAAGTCCGCAGCGATGTGGACTTGGGTGAAGTGCGGATCAAGGGTGCAAAAAGGACATGATCAACTCCCACATTTGAGAATCGGGACACCCTACGCACTCGCATCCCAGGGATCGTGCAACTGAAGTGTGCAAGGATGGAAGTGTGAGTATTGGGATTGGGCCTAGCTGGAAGGAATGCTTTGCAAGTAGCTCTGAGCATGATTTCAGATGCACCTATTTCAGGAACTAGCGGAATGCCACATCAGAGGAGAGGTTAACATGGCAGGATTTGGAATCTTATTTCCTGATATTTGGACATGTCACTTCTGATTGGATAACAGCAACATGACTCTACCACTGACTCGGTTTTCTCTGCAACACTGATGTTTTATCTCCACAAATAACACCAGCCTGGATGAGTTCTGTTGTGTGGTGGGGTTACTAATGCTAAAGGTTAGCCTCTACTAGCCAAGACGTTCTCTGCTGTTTCCTGTATGCTAAACTAAAAATTGCCTTCCCCATCCTGAGTCAATGGATGAGTCCATGAGTGTTAAGTGTGACATAGATCTGTCAGGATTTTCAAATCCTAGAGTTTCCCCATCTATTTTCTATCAGAAGCTAATTAAGGAGATGGGTGTAGGAGACGATTTTCATGTTCAGCCTGCATGAAAAACTCAGAGTGACTGATTATGATCAGAAATCATCTTTAAACATGTTTCCTCAGTTTTCCACACCTTTAAAGATTGTAACAAAATCTGCATTTTTGGAAGCAAAAGGGAGAATTTAGGGCTGGTTTGAAACTTAGAAAAAAAATACAAATCACAGAAAACATTTTCATAAAGTTTAATATTGACTTTTCATTTCAGCTGTGACCTTGGATAGTTTTTATTTAACAGGAGAGTTGTGTTAACAATTAACATGCGGGTTGCCATACATAATGAACTAAATAAACAAATCTAATGTGCCATATAAGATCTCATAAAGCAGATGTATGTGACTCTTTAATGTTTCATTATTGAAAATGTAAATTTTTATGTTTATCATTAATGATGATGATAATAATAATAATGATAATAATAATAATAATAATGATATAAACTCATTTTCCTAATTTAGACACAGCAAAGAGTCATGTACTAAAACCTAAATACTTGAATGTTTACAACACAAATGTTAGTCACTGTAGTTTAGAAAAAGCAAATCAAGGCTTTGAATAAATAAACAAATGAGGATCAAACACAATAATATAATAAATGACACATTTAGAGAATATCTTTGCAGTGGAACATACCAGCAGACGTCTAATAATCGTCCATTCCTCCATAAATCTGTGATACTTACTCAGATCTTGGCTGTTTGTGTGTAAGCTGATGCTGAGAACATCCAGTTCAGTGTCTGCTTTCTCCTTTTGTGAGTGCTGGACTTTGGAACAATGGTGTTGTTGGTAAAATTGAGTTCCGACTCAAAACTCGGGCCGTAAACCCAGATCTTTACACCTGTCTGCAGGTGAGAACAGCTCTGGATTCTCACCATTTGCATTCCTCCTTTTATGGCTGTCGCAGCTTCAAACACACGCCCAGATTTACCGCTCCCAGGAGCCGTTTGAAGGACAAAACCAACTCTTGGAGCTCCGCTTGGTTTCACAACAAATAAAAGGTGATCTGATCTGAGGGAGCTGCAACAGCAGGGAGGAGGAAACGCTTGGGAATATTTTTGATATTTCTAAATCATTTAAAGAAAGTCGGATGCATATAAATAACTCATAAAATTAATTTTATGCATTTATTAGTGTGAAACTGATATTTCTGCTCCAGGTTACATCACAGCCTCACCCAGGATGGGGATGGAGGCTCAGGCGCGGTGCCTCAACATGTCCATGGTCTAAACAAAGTCTCACTCATGTGGGCCAGCTGAATCCATTAGTTTCATTAATATTTGGAGTGTAAACAGAAAAGTGAGGTGTATCACCTGTTGTTTTAAACAGGTGTGTGTGTGTGTGAGAGAGCGCACAAACCTAACAGCAATAAGAGTGAAGCTTTATGGAAAATGTCACCATCTGTTTAATGATCCTTTAAGAACGCACTGACCTGGAATCAGCTTTGTTATTAACCTCTGTTCACATTCCTGTAGGCTAAGTGTGTGTGTGTGTGTGTTCTACTGATCGATTGGCTGCATTCTTGCACTTTTTCTAAAACTTCCAAGAAACTCAAGGTGTTCATTTAAGCTGGAAAAGCATTTTTTATAAGTAATAATGAGTTAATTTTGTTAACAGTCATGTGTGTGTGTGTAGATATTAGGCATGTAAGAAAATACTGACGTACTGAAAAATCAGCGTTTTGCGTTATGTTCAACGTTTAAAGCAGCTAATAGATTTTTTTGTAATCGAGGAAACGACTCACATTGTTGCAGAACCAAACTGGCTCTCACCAGCTGCCACAATAATGACAAAGAAAGTGAGACAGGTTGAAGGGTTTTATTTACAAAAGCACAAATGTGCTCTCCAGCACCGGGTGTGTGAATCTGAATAAATCTGAACAGATAAACACATTTCTGAAGAACCACATCTCATCCTGAGATAAACATTTATTGTTTGATTTAAACTCAAAAAAGTTCACTCAGCTCTGCTCCTTAGGAGGGTCCCGAGTGCCGATGTCAGCAGATGAGCACCCCCTGCTCGTAACCTACATTAACGGACTTAGCGTATAAAACATCAAATCTGTGCTCAAACACTCCCTGAATGTCCTGCTGCTCCGTGATTTAATATTCCAGCTCTGTGAAGCTTTTCTTAGATAAAAAGTTAAAGTCGTCCTAAATGCTTTGCTGATGTCAGATGCTCACTGGGGCGGAGGGTTGGCTGTGGAGGCTCTCAGGATGCCTCGCAGCACCTTGTAGTTGTTGAGGGGTTGGTTCTCTTTGGGGGGGAACAAGGGGCCGCGCTCAGTTGCGTAGGAATAAGGAAACCGCAGAACCCAGAAGCTGTCGGGGGGCAGCACAACCTCCGGCTGCTCCGGGTGAAAGATGGGGCAAGGAGGAAGTCCGGGTTGGACCTGGAAACAACAATGTTTTTATTCACACTTCCATCATCATTCTGTTGGATCTGGATGCTGCAGGAAGAGCATTTTCCTCCTAAATAACCTAAAAAACGTTTCATGAACTCCTCTGAAACCATTCCAAAAAGTAAGTTAAGTCTTTGTCCACTTACCTGGGGGTTCAGCGTGATCTCCAGCGGCGTGTCGGGAACCACAATAAAGAGACGAGTCAGCTGTGCGAAGTGCGGCTTCAGGCCTCGCCCCTGTGATGGAGATGGGACGTAGAGCGGCATGTCTGTGTTTAAGACTCGGGTGGCGGGATCTTTGGCGCCCCCTGGCCCCAGAGCCTTTACTATCTTATCAGGCCCACAGCTAATGAAGCGTCGTCCTCTGCTGTCCTCGTACTCAAACCCTACAAAGACCCGAGCCATGTCGTCCCTCCTGCGACTCCTACCGAGCCCACCGGTGCTGCCTCGCTTTCCAACCAGGCTCTTGTTGGGAGCTGGCCATGATGACGCGCCTCCGTCCAAAGGCTCCATCACTCCTGCGTCCTCCACCGAACGAGACCGGATCACCAAGTCCCACGGCAAGAGGAAGGAAGAGCCGGGGAGGAATCCTGGCTGTTCCAGACCAGTGTGGCAGTTGTAAGACTTCGCTTGGCCCAGTTTGATCAGTGACCAGCTGGAGAACTTTGGGAGAAGGCCTTTTGGACAGCTGGAGTGCATCATACCTGGTAAGTACTCCACAGTGGAGGGCTGACGGTCCACGAGGCTAGGCCTCTTGGGCTGAACCTGGTTTTCAGGTGCGTCTCCATCCCCGTAGGGCTCCAGGCTGTCTGTGGACTGACCCAGACTGAGAGCCAGGCTGAGACTGGTTTCTCCAGGTGTGTGGCTCTGAGCCGTGCTCGCTTCCTTCTGCCTCTCTGTGTCTGTTTCAGATGGGAGCCGCTGAGTCTGGTTGCTGGCTGGCGCTGGGTCCGGAGTGCTGGGCTGGAACACAGGAAACTCGATCCTCTCCAGCTTCCCACAGCACTTCTCCTCCAGCATCTGCTCGGGATAGAGAAACACGGAGCACACATTACTACGGGGTTTGTAGTCAGATTTAAACTGATGTGTTATTCATGGAGTCTTGAGTCCTCTGCAGAGGTGGTGGTGTCGATCCTGACCTGGTAGAAGTCGTAATTTGCAGACTGGATGTCAAAGGGATCCTCCCGAGGAGCCTGTTTCCGCCCACAGTTACAGGAGCTGGTGGAGCGCCCCCTGCTGTTGTGGTTCATGATGGGTGGGTTGTGATCTAGGTCTGCTTTCTCTCCTGTGCATATAAGACAGGTTTAGTCATTTTTACTGCTCTTTAAGTAAGAATGAAGAACTTTTATTGGTTTTGGAGGAATTTTTGTGTTTTAGAACCGTTTTTAAAGGAAGTATATTCTCACAAATGCTGTAATAAACACGTTTCTTTTCTCAACCACTGAATAGTTTTTGGAGATAATGAGATGCTCACCAGGTTGAGGCAGGAGGTGGAACTTGTGAACACAGTGCTGGTCTGTGAGACTTCTCTCTTCACACAGCTGGTGGCCATTGCTCCAGAACTTGTAACAGTCCTCGTGGAGCTGCAGGGCATACCGCTGGAAAGCCACGCCTCGGGCATGCTGGCTGTACACCCGCAGGGCCTGAGCCAGCTGGTTTTTGTGTACTGTTGTGGTGTAGTTGTGTGGAAGGTTAGACTGGTAGGCGCTGTGAGCCAGTGGCAGAGCTTTCTGGCACCTGTTTTCTGAAAACTTTGTATCAGCATCAAGAAATCCATCCAAAACCTTCACCTGGCTTTGGACTTTTGTGGCCAACTCAGCCAGTTCTTCATCCGTGTTGGTGATTAGGACTTGGTAGAGTCTGGAGGAGACCTGGATCCATTTGGTGTACGTCGGCAGCTCAAAGTGCGAAGGCTGTGGGTTGCGACCAACGCTGTCATCAAAACCTTTCTTGGTCAGCACCAGTTCAACGTGCTGCCAAAGGAATTCCCTCAAGCTGCAATCCACTAGCTGACCGCCCAACGATAAGCCACGCAGCTCGCCACCGCTGCAGGGCTGCCGGGCCGATCGGCGCATCTGCTGGTATCGCCTCGGCCCTGACACGGGCACGGGGGAGTCCTGCTCAGACAGCATGCAGTTTGACTGCAGTTGGCTGAGCAAAGTACCTACTGGGTCCTTGTCTGCTGTTGGCATCACGTACACAAACGCCTGGTTTGCAGGCACGGTGAACAAACAGTTACTGCTCTGGTTGGTCAGAACTCTGCTTTTACGGAAGATCCGGTAAATCTGATCCTCCAGAGCATGCTGCAGCCTTCTCCTGGGAGAATGCTTTTTGGGTTTGTCGGGATTCCCTCCAGACTCAAATCCATTTGCAGAAACCTTTAAAACAATCAAACAAAAGGCGTCATTTAATTTCATGTTTCACTGCTCAACTTTACTTCCTTTATTCACTAAAAGAAGAATCTTTCATCAAAAGCAAACCTTGAGAGTGGCGGTCATCTGGAAGACAAAAAGCAGCCGTGGGGGACAGGGTCTGCAGTTCAGCTTCCACTCTTTGGATACCGGACAGTCCTTGATGGCAGCCCGGATCAGGGGCAGCACCTTCTGCCGCAGGGCGTCCAGGGCTCTGAAGAGCTTGTCGTAGGTCACGTCGAAGGTCTGACTGGGGTGGACCAGCAGCAGGACGTGGCACACTGAAAACATGTAGAGCAGGTGGAGACAGTGCTGTCGGTCCAGCCCTTTCCAGAAGTCGTGAGCGTCGGAGTGGCTGATCCCAGCGCTCAGAGACCGACAGGCCCGGAGCAGCTGCCGGCTGTCGGACACGGAGGACAACAGCAGGTACAGTACCCGGTTCTCCTGGTTGTAGAAGGCCTGGATGTGGCTGTCTGCTGTGTCGTCGTTCTCTGGTTCACCGAACACGGAGAAGATATGTTTGTCTTCCAATATGTTGATAAGAGAGTCTTTAAGCGGTCCGGGCTGCGTGTTGTTTTTCCCGAAAATACCGACAACACAGAGGCCGTCGTCCCGGTAAGCAGCGTCCTCCGGCAGGCCCGACTGCAGCAGAGTTCCAACACTCACGGGGAGAGACATGTTCGTTTCCTTCATGGTGAAAAGGCACCGAGAAGCAACTCCCGAGAAGGGGGAACGAAAACAGCGACCCGACGTTTCCCTGCGCACTTCCTGTCCTGTAATATACTGTCCGGGTAAAGTGTCTGGCCAAAAACATGCGTTCCGTTTTTGAATTTTTGGCTTTTGTTGCTCAGGAGTCGCCCCCTTCAGGTGACTAGTTGACTTTACAACAAACCTGTTCACAAAAATTCTAAATATCGAGTGAATCAAACTTTTACCCAAAACGTATGATTTTTTAATGTAAAAAGTAACGTAATCACATGAAATGTATTATAAATCAATTAGAATGAAGGCACATTCTTTTTTTTATTTTTTTATTACCAAATCGCGGTATACCTTTAATGTTTTTATTCTTGATTTGTTATTTATTTGGGACTTAAGGCGCCTTAGAGTACAATTGAATCAGTTACTGTTCTGAGTTGTTTTCTTTCTTGTTGTCCCTCCTTTTTTATCTTACTGTCTTGGAAAATGTTATCGTAATTATAAATGACAGTTTTCACTTTGTGGAAGTGAACAATAAGTCATTCAGTCCGAAGACCATAAAACGCCTTGTAGACTTCTGCCGTGTGCGTAACGACTCCATCCTTTGTTGATATTTTGTTTGTATATTTTTAGAAATCAGATTTGTTGATCCTGATGTTGGTTTTGCACACAGTGCATCCCATCTAACCCACAGCTGTGGTATGTTCTTTCTTTTAGGAAACACCCCCATAAGCTTCTTGCTTGACAAACCACATCTTTGCTGAGGAAGAATTTCAAACTCGGAACTTCTTGATTTTTTTTTAATTAATCCTGTGTTTAGTTTTGGAGATCAGCTGCATCTACATTTTCCACAACTGGAGATGGTGCATCTCTCCTCTTTTAAAAAGCCGTATTCAGTACTGTGCATCTGAACTTTTTTGTGCCTTTAATTTATTCATTCAACATGAATAGATTCAAGTTTTCCAATAACTGTTCAATGCTTTGATGCCCCGAGGTCACATATTTGGTGGGTGGTCTCTTTGTTGACCTGAATGTTGATGGACCTTTCCAGCATTAGGAAGACATGAACCAGCTTGCAATTTGATCAAAAACACATATAGTAAAATTTCACTTGGAAGAAATGGGACTTTATTGGTTAGTTTTGCTTTTTGAAATAATAAAATATAAAACAACTCTCTTGAGAAAATGGCATCAACAGCAATAAGGATATGATTACTTTGGAGGATTTGTGTATGTTTGATCTCCCTTTCTTATCTTTGATTTTTTAATATTTTTGGTCAGCTGTTAAATTATAGGATCCACCATGAAGGGCTAAGCTCCTCAATCACTTTTAATGGACCGGATAAACTCTCATCCCAGCAGGAGATACGAGCACCTGGATGAGAGGATTGCATCTGGCAGTGCTACTAATAAATTTAATTTTTAAATCTAATTTTTAATTATTGCTAACACAAAGCAACAAAATTTTTCCTTTTTGTGGGCACAACAGATCAAATTGGACTAAAACAGGAATTATAACTTAAGGCTTATAGATTTCCACTTTCCCACAATTTGACATTTTTACAGTTAAACAGATTAAACCGTTATACAATAAATATAACACGTTTTACTGACCCAGTGAGCTTTCGTGCACAATGACTCAATTTTGTTTAAAAAAACTTGTTGGTTTAAGATTATTTAAGCAGCTTGTAACAAAAAACAGAAAATAAACTAACATGACTGATTTTCATTTCTTTCTAAATATTTTATTTATTTATTTGAATTTATTTATGTATTTATTTAGACTTTAAGCCCTCCGACGTCGGGAGGCAGAGCTGCGTGCGCGTTCTTGACCTCTCTGACGTCAGCGCCTTCTGATCAGCCGAAATCCCTCATAAGGTGGTGCGCGCTCCCGCTCGGCTCTTGAATGGGGGCTCAGTCCAGCCGGTGACAGCTCATCCGGTAGTAACAGCCCACGGTCCGCTCCTCCAGTCCCGGTCCGCCGTTCTCAGACACGCCGGTCCTCCACGGGTCCGCTCCTCCGGTAGCTCTCCGTTATTCAGGTAGTATGACGGTGGCGCACCGACAGTCGCACCACTAGTTCGTTCTGACTCTTCTCTTCTCAGCCCGGAGAGTTTGACGGGCGGAGCTGTCTCTGTCTGTCCAGGAATGAGCAGTGATGGCCGGCTCTGCAGCAGAGGAGAAAACCTTCCGACGGTTCCTGGAGCTCTTTATTCGCGAAATGAGGATGCCTCTGCAGGAGAGCGACCCGGTGCCAACGCGCCCCTTGTCGGACCTGGTGTCTGAGGACGAGGTGGAGGGAGAGTGTCTCGACCTGTGTCTCCAGCACCTCTACAAATAGTTAAGTGTGGACTTTCTGTCCTGGCATGCAGACATGTTAATGAGGTGTGAGTGTGTTGTGAGAGGTGTGAAGGTCAGTTTGCTGTGGGGGGTGGGGAGAAGCGGGTGGCGACCCCGTGCGGGGGTCTCCGTCACGCGGCCAGGAATGCCCACTGACTCTTTCCCACTTGCGGGAGGGCGCAGGGCGTGTCTGGCCTCAGGCTCAGTCAAGAGTCTTCATAAGGAACTAAATCGAGCAAAAAGCAGAAGTTAAATCGCTCCTGCGTCTGTGTGTGTGTGTGTGTTTGTGTGCGTGTTCGTGCGTGCGCAGAATCTGTGCGCTTCTTGCTTTTTGCTTCTGTAGGTCTAGAAAAGGTGAACCCCGGTTTTTACGTAACAGTACGTCGTCATTATGGTGTAGGAGGGGGATTGGGGGGGGGGGCAATCGCCATCACTGCTGAGCGCATCTTCATGTGGGCTAAAAATAGCCTCACCGATTCTGTGGATCGTTACGCTAAAACCCAACAGAGGGGATGCATGCAGCTCAATAATAAATATAAATCATGTGTTTGCACGTCAGAGCTTCCCATGCCCATGCAGCTGCAAATGAAACTCCAGATGTTAGGAAACACACACAGAGATGAATCTCTTTTATACATTTTGCATTTAAAAGAAAACCATTTGGCAGCTGCTAGAGATGTGGCTGGAGCGGGAGAGAGTGCTGCAGCCTGGCCTGGTTTTAAACCCAAAATAGGTGCAGAAACTGTGCTGGGGAGCTGGAAGGTCTCATCTAGGACACGTAGGTTTTCACTGCAGCTGGATCAGACCCTTCCAGGAGAGACTGCTGGCCTCTGAGTTGCTCAGATCAATATTTGTCCTCTGGGGAGTCACACCGTCTCCTTCATGCTCTGCAGGCTTGATTGGCTGATATATAAAAGGTCACTGAGCATTAAACCCTCAACATCTTCCACAAGATGCTAAAAGGAGCAGTTTTGCCACAAGTCTGATCCTGCAGGAAGATATATTCAGCTGATCCCAGGGAAGCATGTTGAGTCCTGTCAAATGATTGAAAACTGCAGTAATAACCAGGTTTAATAGGCTGCTTTTGTTTTATAATAAAACAAGTCTTTGTGAATTTCTTTTTGTGACTTTAGGATGATGTTAATATTAAAAAGACAGAAGCAGGTTTTACTTGCTGTTACAATGTTTTAAATGGACACCCAGAGGCTTTTCGTTAAGTGCTGTCACTGGAAATGTCAGAGCAGACCAGGCTGCTTTTATTTGAGTTTGCCTCTCAAAGAAAGCAGGAAGTCAAGGTCCCTCAGAAAAAGTCTGAGTTTTATATAACCTTGAATAAAACGTTCGACCTGCGCCCAGCATCAACATCACAGCAATGCCATAAATGATTCAACTCGCATACAAAATTTATCAGCCGTTTCTAAAAGTCTTTATCATAACATGGAAATTATTTGTTGTTGTTGTTGTTATTGTTGTTGGTAGCCTCAAGCAACATGCCGATTATCACTTGTAAGTCGCTTTGGACAAAAGCGTCTGCTAAATACATAAACATGATCTATAACATATAAAAAATAAATTAGCCATTATGTGCATCAGGAAAAATAAGATCCCTCTCAATCAGTTTAAGTGACTTGAAGCAAATGCTTCAGTAACAGCATAATAATTCTAATATCAAAGATTAACTCTGACTTTGAGTCCATGAATCTGATCTGTACAACATCCATTAGCAAAACCGAAAATAAGTGCAGCTCGCTGACTCAGCCGAGTGGCAAAATATTTCCTTCTTTTCTCGTTCGTTTGTCCTGTCAGAGTCGATGAATCACGCGTTGGTTCTTTTGACTAATATCTACCCAAAGAAGATGGCTTAGGGTAAAAATATTATTAAATTCCACTAGAGGGAATGTTGTCGCCTCCTCTAAAATTGAGAAATCTTTTGAATATTTCTAGCAAAAGGGAAAGTAAATGACTTTATCCTGGAAAGATTTAACCCATGGTGAAGTTAGGATTAGGATAATTCAGCTGGTTTTTTCTTAACTTAATCATGCTTGCTTGCAACATTGTCTTTGGAAATGATCTCCGTTGTGATTCTGTTTAAAACATATTGAGAGGATATATAAAATAAATACTATTCTACCTCTCATCTCATTTTAGCGTGTTCATTCTTATTTTAGCTTAATATTAGCATATTTAATTAAACTACCTTCTTTGAAAAACCATATTCTATCTTAGTTTAGCATGTTTGGATTCAAGGGCCTATCATTAGTTTAACCCTGGTTTAAATTGACTTAGCTTAACTTAGCTTGCCTTAACTTAGCCTTTCATAATTTACCCTGCCTTAGCCTATCTTGAATTTGTATCTTGTATTGTTAACTAATTTAGCCTATTTCAGCATATATTAGCTTCTGATCCCGTTTGATATGTGCAATGGATTTCACATATGATGCCTGGAAAATTTTTAAGATGCCACTTATTTTTGACTGGTGGCAAAAGTTACTTTAGGTTTTGTGCAAAAAAACACAGAAGACTCCAACTGCTCGTCTCATCAAATTAGTGTAATCAAATCACACGGGTAGAAGAAGAAAAATGTCTGAGTTTAGCGAGCTGTGCATCCTTCTCCCAGGAAGAAAGAGGGAACATCAAAGCTGCTATACCGCAGCTTTTCTTTTTGGGGCACTGGTACTTTGTACTGAAGTGAAAGTGGTAGCAGCAGGCTATTTCTCCCTCTCTGATATTATTAAGCGGAGAACCTCTCACAGCAGTGGTGTTCAGTTGCAAAATGTGCTCCCGTGTAATGAGTGGAGGACCCAGGTGAATGCTGAATTGTGGTTGTCGGGTAAGACACATGACTGGATAGTCCAATCGTTGGTTTTGGACCGAGCCATGCCATTGGCTAAGGGTTGTTAGAAAATTGTGATGGAACTATGTAATTTTCTTTGCCTTTTTTGTCTTCATAAAATATTTATAGAACATTGTTAAGAGGCATGAACATTTTTGAAGCTAGCGTCTTTTGCAGATTTACCATTGTAGTGTCAAATATGGAGAAAACCATGTGGAAAGTAGCAACTACGCTGGGGGAGAAGAGATTCTGCAGTGACTTCTTATGTGTGACTTCTGATATTTAGTATTTTTGATTACAAATTTTTACAAGCTAATAAATCTCAAGTTACGTGACAGACCCAGTCAAATCACATAATTATTTTTCCTTTAAAGTACGAAGTAGGCAATTTTGGCATGCTTTTAGCACCCCCTTGTGTCTGTCTGTAGAATCAAAAGCAAAACCTCTCCTCGCTGTATGATTGTCTTTGTAACAGCTGAAATGTCACCCTAGCCTTCGTTCGTGTCTACAGGAGTGATTCATCATTAAATTAAACAAATCAGCTCTATTCATGATCTAAAACATGCAAGAAACGTACTGGAACCAGACTGCAGCGCCAGGTATGTCAGCTCATTTTTTTCTAAGTCTCAACAGAGCGGCCCACCTTTCTGAAGTTGCAAGTGGAATTTTCTGGCCACAGGGGCGATAGGGACTGAGAGGCCTTTCATTAACCATGTAAAGGGTCATTTTAGAAGAAGAAGAATAAGAAAATATCATTTCTATAGCGCCTCTCAAGATAGAAATCACGAGGCGCTTCACAAAAACAAAAAAATGTAAAAATATAAAAAAGAATTTAGAAAATGGTTAAAAATATATTTAAAATGAGCAAAAAATAAACAATTGTGATTAAAAAATAATGTTAAGAAAGAGAGAGAGTGAATAGGAAAGAAGGAAATCAGTGGATCCTGAGGAAGGTGGAATAGGTGGGGAGAGCAGAATAAAAAGAGAGTGATGAAGAAGGTCATACAAAAACCAGCTTGAACAAGTGAGTCTTCAGCTGCTTTTTAAAGGAGACCACTGAGTCCACTGATCTCAGGCTCAGGGGGAGAGAGTTCCGGAGTCTGGGGGCCACAGCAGCAAATGATCTGTCACCTTTGGTCTTTAGCCTGGTGCTGCACAACCAGTAGGCTTTGATCACTGGACCTCAGGGACCTGCTGGGGGTGTAAGGACTAAGAAGATCACCAATGTAAGATGGTGCGAGTCCATGTAAGGCCCTATAGACCAGAACCAGGATCTTGAAATGAACCCTGAAGTTGACTGGCAGTCAATGAAGCTGGAGGAGAAGCTGGGTGATGTGGATGTGTTTGGAGGACTTGGTCAGAAGCCGAGCACAGGTGTTCTGAACCACCTGTAGACGGTTCAGGGAGGTTCTGCTCAGACACGTGAAAAGAGAGTTACAGTAGTCTAAGCGTGAGGAGATGAAGGTGTGGACAACTGTCTCAAGTTCAAGTTCAAAACTCTCCAGTCGGTAACAAGATAGTGCCTATGCTTGGCTTAGCCGCAGTCACCGGCCACTTTTTCAAACTTTTCTCCATTAACCTCTTCTTTTCCACCATGCTCCTGTCTGCGATCCTCTTCAGTAGTGTCTGTGCTACCATCTCCTATGCCAGACTCTTTTGTCCTTCCGTTCGTTCACGATCGCTCAAGGTGCACCGAGGACGTACGTCCCTGTTTGTCTATCGGAGTGGCGCACTGGCCCGGAGCCAAATGACGATTCCAACCAGGGCGCCCCCAGCAATGTTTATCTGGTCCCGGGAAAACATCGGAGGAAAAGAGGTAAACGAGCAGGAATCCAGGTGAGAATAAGACTTCTCTTAAAGCGTGGTTTATCTAGTAAACATCAGCGTGATCTTCTAGCTTCTTGTCCTTTGTTTGGCGACTTGAGCACCACTTCCGCATTCCCGCCAGGCCACGTTGCGGCGCGGTTTCTTCTTCCAAGTTTTTTAAGGTCGGTTTATCCTCATTCCTCAGTGGTGTCTCCTCCTGTTCCCTCCATAAGTGTTTTTTATAAACACAGTGGATCTAACCCTGCTAATTTACATCCACTAACTCCAGCTGTTTCTGTAGTTTCTGATTCCTCCACCTCACTCAGCATGGCCCTATTGAACACCCGCTCTGTTAACAATA